ATTCTCCTCCATTTCGTAATGGCTCATGTCAACCATGATGCTGTCAAATGGGAGAGAATCAGCGGCATGCCGAATGATTGCTTCATCCTGTGCATGATCTAAATGGATCGCGATGGGAACCGAAGCATTGCGCGCTGCGTGTGCTGCGGCATGGATGAGGAGCCCGGAGGAGAACGTGATGGCCCAAGGAAATACTTGGATAATTAGGGGACTGCGTTTGACTTCGGCGGCTCGTACGAAGGCGAGAATGTGTTCGATGTTGTAAGCTATTGGTGCAACGACTCCATAGCCTCCATCCTCAGCTGCTTTGAGGATCTGGCAGGTCTTGTTGTTTTGCGGTTCCCAAGTGGAAGCCATTTTTGCCATGTGCATCTGTCAAGTCGAATGCAATGTCTATTTCTATACCGATTAAAAGTATAAGCAAGATTGTATACCCGGTCAGGATCTGCTCGAATCAATCATCCATGGCGCCCTTCCATTAATCCTTGCACCAACCCCCAAGTGTCCCCCGCACATTCGCGCCTCGAGGTAATTTAGTTGCTGGAACTAACCCAACCCGAACTAGCACTGCTCGTCTGAACCCTGTCAACTTTGGCAACTTGACCTCGAAGCGCGGTACCTGCATTGCAACTATGATTCGCTTCCGGGCACGTCCCGAGGAAAAGGCACTGGAACAGCATAAAGTACACACCAAAGGCAGAGACACAGTTATTTGGCCATCACTATCAAACACTGAGATTTACATTACCTTCCAATAATTTCTTCACCCCATTCCGACATACAATGCCATCTGGACTTCGCATAGTCATCGGCGGGGACGACGCCGGCTTCCCCTACAAGTCCATCATAACCCAACAACTCCTCACAGATCCCCGAGTCTCCTCCGTCGTCGACGCTGGTCCCTCATCAGAGGAAGACAAAACTGCCTACTCGCACTTTGCCATCGCCGCAGCTGAGAAAGTTGCAAAGGGCGAAGCCGACAGAGCTTTGTTGATTTGCGGCACCGGCCTTGGTGTTGCCATCGCCGCAAACAAAGTTCGTGGTATCAGAGCTGTGACAGCACATGATAGCTTCTCTGTCGAGCGTTCGGTCTTGAGTAATAATGCTCAGGTCCTGTGTTTGGGACAGCGTGTTGTGGGTATTGAGCTTGCTAAGAGACTGGTGAAAGAATGGCTGGGATATCAGTTTGATCCCGTAAGTATATCTGCCCTTGTCCATGAAAGCATGTTTTATTGACTCCATTCTAGAGTTCGTCATCTGCGGCCAAAGTCAAGATCATTGAGGATTACGATAGAGAAGAACTTATAGCAGCGCCAGTAGTTGCTGCGTAGCACTGTGGATTGAATTAGATTGCAAATACAATAGCCTTGATTTATCCTCAACAAACGACTTCTACTCGCTTATTACGCTTCTCAGGTTTCCATAAAAGCTCCGATAAACTGTAAAATATTCTGCATGATTCCCTGGACCCCTTTACACAATGTTTTATGTTGTTTGCTCTCGTTTCCGTAGTTTGAATTTACGTTAGACATGTCGATAGTTCTATACAGTGGTTCTGGGCACGAAGAAGAAAAAGAGTTTCATTTAAAACTAACAGGGAGCAACTTCGTTGAAGCTGCGACTTAGCCCTTGTTGGCCATTCCAGGGCTATTCAAGTGAGTAGTGATAAGGCAAGCACTCTGTTACCAGGTCCATGTAGTAAGCAAACAAATACGACATATGAGCTTTCCAGATGCAACCAAATCTATTAAACAAGGGCAGATTTCTATAGCAAGATCTTTCACCTACCAAGCGCCGACAATGCCCGCGATCGGGATATCAATTCCCGTTGTGTAAGTCGCCGTCTCACTCAGCAGGTACACATATGCACCTCCAAGCTCCTGCGGTAGCGCCAAACGAGGCATGCCACCGTAGTACTTCATCTTTGTATCCCAATCAGGCGCTGTCTCAACATAATACGTCAAAGCAGTTTTGACGAAGCCAGGTGAAATGCTGTTCACTCGGATGCCGTACTGCGACCATTCCATCGCAAGCGTGTGCGTCATGTTTCGCACTGCGCCCTTGGTTGCGCCGTAAGGAGCTGATGGGGCAGCCTGTCTCAAGTTAGTGGGGAGGTATCACTAGAGGAAGTTTGGGGATACTTACTCTGTTTGGACGGTAAGATGTCATACTGGCTGTAAACACAATGCTGCCCTTACAGCCAAGCTTGATGAACGCGCGCGCAGCAGCCGTGGCACAATTCCACGCCCCAAACACGTTTAACCGGAACAGCTTCTCAACCTGCTCAGCCGTAAAGTCCAAGGCAGGTTGATGCTTGGTGGCACCAGCGTTGGCGACCATTCCATCGAAGCGGCCCTTGTCAGCGATGATGGCATCTATTGCGGAAGTCACGCTCTCTTCATTCGTCACATCGCACTTCTGGAAACCCAATTTCCCCGGGAAACGTTGGAGCAGAGCTGCAAAGGGTTCTGAAGGTTCAGTGACGTCGAGGCTGTAGACAAAAGCAGCGTCATTCACGAGGCAGACCTCAGCGATACCAAGACCAATGCCCTGGTTGGCACCGGTGACTTTCGTTATCAGCATTGATCACTTTTGTGCAGGGTATTGACTTGAAAAACATACTGGCAATGACCTTGTCTTGTAGGGTCACTTTGTAGTCATGGTTGGGGCCAGGCATTGTGCTCAGAGGCCCGTGTCCATTGGCGGCGCCGTTTGTACCGTTGGAGGTAACGTTTGTGTTTTGGGGGCCACTCGTCATTGTGTTATCATTCAATTTTAAGAAGAATCCCGAGTGAACTGATGAGTGAACTGAACTGAAAAAGGGAAATGGGAATTCAAAAAGTCAAGTAAAGAAAGGTTAAATATTGTGTTCAAGGTGACTCCGCGCAGAATTATTCTCCAAACCCATCACACCACAAAAAGCCAAGGAGCTCAACATCGGCACTACGGCGTGACATAGTCGTTGTACTGCGTCTCGCGGTCTTGGTAACCCCTAAGCGCGGCTTAGTTGCACCAATAGCGTCGTCCCTTGCGTTCACCTCGCTTAAGGGCAGAGGCTAAATTAGTCTTGGCCAAAATCTGGGGTCTCCACGATTCCAGAACAGCTGATTCCTGAACTTGGAGCTAAAGGGAACCCTCTCTCGTTCGAAACATGCCGATCTCCAATACGACAGTGGACTGTGCAGCGAGAGGTGTGACATGTATTCTATTTAAGTATCACTCATATCTTCCATTTCAACTGCTTCGTCACCACCGTCAGTCAATCTTCAATTCTTCATCATCAGTCTTTTTCAGACGCGTCAAATACTCACACCTTGCCCGACATAATGGACAAGGTAGAGAACAAACAGTCGTTTGAGCATGATGACAATATCGTCGATCCCAAGGAAGACTCCATGGCGAATGGCGAATATGTACCCGATACTGAAGAAGAGAAGAAGCTCGTTCGCAAGATCGACCTCTTCATTCTCCCCATGATGTGGTTCATGTACCTGATGTCATACATGGACAGAACCAAGTCAGTATACGCCATTTCACATACACTAGAGTCTATTTAACCCTTCAAAAGTGTCGGAAACGCCAGGATTGCCGGAATGGACAAGGACCTCAACCTCGACTCCAACAAATATTCCATTGTCCTTGTGGTCTTCTTCGTTGGATACGTCGTCTTCGAGGTTCCCTCCAACATGATCCTTACACGAACCCGCCCGAGTCGATATCTCCCCGGCATCATGTTTGTCTGGGGCGGCGTCACAATCGCAATGGCTTTCACGCGCACCTACGAGCATATGATCGGTTTCAGAATCCTCATGGGTGTCCTCGAGTCTGGATTTGCTCCTGGCGTGCTTCTGCTTCTCTCCTCCTGGTATAAGAGTGAAGAGCAGAGCAAGAGATTCGCCGTGTATATCTCTGCTGCTATTCTCTCCGGTGCATTCGGTGGCCTCTTGGCTGGATCTATCACTAGCGGTCTCGATGGCGCACACGGCAAGGCTGGTTGGAGATGGTTGTTCGTTGTTGAAGGGGCTGCCACTATGGGTGTCGCAGTTATTGCTTACTTTGTTCTTCCTGACTTCCCAGCCAACACTTCGAGGCTCAAGTTCAGCCAGGCAGAGATTGATCTTGCCATTCGAAGACTGCAGCATGACAGACAACAGGTTCACTCTGAAGACGAATCGAAACTGGGTCATTGGCAGGCCTTCAAACTCAGCATGACTAACTGGCGCACTTGGCTCTTTGTTGTTGGTTACATGGTAAGTCATCGACCACCTTGTTTCTGAGCCTTTTACTAACTGTGGACTTCCTCAGGCAATTGTTGGCTCTTCAACTCTCTCCTACTTCTACCCCACTCTCGTTAAAGGTCTCGGTTATGAATCCACGGCAGCTCAGTACATGACCATACCCATCTTTGGCGTCGCATTTGTAGTCACTGCTCTCACAGGTTACTTTGCCGATAAGAACAGCAAATGGCGAGGTGTTATACTGTGCGCCTGGATGAGCATCGCCATGTTGTGCGCCATCATCATCTGCGTCGTCTACAACTTCAAAGCACGCTACGCTCTCCTCGTCATCATGGCTGCAGCACTCTGGGCCTCAAATGGTCTGTCGCTGTCTTACGCCTCAATTACCTTTGGCTCCATGCCTACTGAGACAAGAGCTATTTCTCTGGCGTTTGTCAATGCAATGGGTAACCTGGCGCAGATCTATGGCGCCTACTTGTTCCCAGCATCGGAGAAGCCAAAGTACCTCAAGGGATTTGGAGTCATCAGCGGGCTGTGCTTCACTGGAGCTGTATCATATATTCTCTTGCATGTCTTTCTCCAAGGCAAGAAACGGGCTTGAGTGATGAAATTACCTACAAGGATATGTAATGTACTTTTAGTTACAGTTAGTTAGGTGGAGGTGATGCTAGTTATGGATTATACAGTATTGTCTCTAGAAAACCCCACTGAGTACCAGTAGTCCCGAGTCTGGATGTGAACTGAGAAAGAGTATACAAAGACTTAGGACAGTTCTGCAACCTTCTCATGAAAGATCCGTTCCGCTCGCTGCCAAACCCCTTCAGTATCCCGACGGCCTAGAGTTAACAGACTTGGCGGAAGCAGTGAGGAATACTCATCGCTCGACTCACGCGCAACCATGGTAGGAAGATGATCGATGGCGATGATGCGCAGCTCAGGGCCATCGATGTGCTCAGAAGCACGAACAGTGGGTTTCTCGAACGAACTGTAGCTGGAGTATACTGGAATGGGATTGTTCTCGCTATTGGGGTCGCAGCTGGCGTCGCAGATGACCCGGAGTCGTCTGTCAGGTGCTGAGAGAGCTTTGAAAGTTGTGAATGGCGGGGTTTTGTTGGAGCCTAGGTATACGCAGTTCACAAAGATGTCAGACGACGCAACCTCAGGAAATGGGCCACCTTTTCTCGTTTCAGCGATTTCCCATTTTAGAATGTCAGTGACACCGAAAGCCTCAGCTGCTACGATGGCACCTTTGCCGCAGCGGCCCAGGGCACCAATAGCAACCAGTCGATGATGCGCACCATCGTTAGCGGAACGTGCAGCGTCGACCTTGCCCTTGACAAGTTCAGTCAAAGCAGAGGCAGAGTCGACGACGGGAACCGGTCCTTGGGTACGCCGGGGTTGAGCAGTTGATGAGCCCAGGATAAGAGTGCCAGCGCAGTCCCGGCAAACCCAGCCCAGTATCCGAATGCAGCTACTCGTCTTCCGTCTTTATCTGTGAGGAACTCCAAGTCATACAGCAAGCCACCTGCGTTTGAGAAGCGAGACAGCTCAGTGGCCCAACCAGTTTGCTTTTTGTATACGTGAGCAAAATGAATGTAGGTATGCGGCAACGGTGCTGGACACGATCAGTAAGAAAGACTAGCGTTGTACATTGGTGAACATACTTCCATCAGCTTCAATCTCCTTCAATCCAAGGATAATGTCGCCCTTGGGTGCATTGACCCAAGAGCCAGTAGGCACAATCTCAGCTCCGACAGCTCTGAACTCATCGATCTTGTAGATACGGTCCGGAGACTCTTCCACTCTAACTACGTAGCCAGCGTCGAGCAAAGCCTTGGCAGTCGAAGGCGACACTTGTTTGTTAGATGAAGGGATTGTCAGAGTTGTTCAAAGGTTCCTACCTGGAGAACGACGCTCTAGCGGCTTTGTCTCAGACCGGAGATGGATTGTGACTGGCGACATGTTTGTGATTCTTATGGAGAGATTTGGATTTGGAAAGCAATGCGGTTACAGTTCTTTATTTGTACTTGAGACCTGTCCTTGGCTTAGAGCTTATACTCTACGCAGATCAATGACTTTGCCGGATGATTGTGGGTCTGTATAGGGTGAGTCATGGACCACTCCAATTAAGGAGCAAAACGTGTAACTTTGGCACTTTTATATTGTTTAAAAACTCTTTCATCATTGTTTTGAAACTGATAAAAATATGATATAGGATTAAGCAATTTCAAATCTAGTCGAGCATAGCATGCTTCAGGTTATACATGACGCAGATGGTGATGCCCCGTAGCCTAAAGTTGTCGAGACCCCAGCCTCAAAAACACGCATGACCCCCTCAAAACATCCCAAGTCAGATTCCCTAATCCCGCTTGACAGGAATCTTTCGGTACCTCACCGTCTCAACACCAGAGTCATCAAACGTTCTATCCGCAACAACCTTGTATCCTCCAATCCTGGGAAGTATCTTTGTCCAGAAGCTCCAGTAGACACCACCAAGGATCAAAACACCAACACCAACGACAGGGAACACGTAGTATGGGTATCCATCGGCGTTCCAGTCACCGTCGGGTGGGATAAAAGGCACCAAGGCGAGGAAGATGTTGGCGAGGAGGTAGATTATGGATATGGGGAGATATGTGTGCCAAGGTGATGTCCAGTTCTCGGGTTTCTTGTAGTGTAGATATATCAAGCCTGCGGTGACGAAGCCATTGATCCAGGAGCCGGGGTATGTGTACCTGACTTGTTAGCCTTGTATATGGGGCGTAAAGGAAGAATAACTTACAGGTTGATGATAAAGTTATAAGCTGGTCCAGCAGGCGGAGCAAGAAGCACAACAACCGTAACAATCCAATGAAGAAAAAGCTAAATCGTCAGCCTAACCCTCACAAACAGAAACATAACTTACCGCAGAAGCCGGTGCATTAAATGGCTTGTTAGACGCCCAGAATCGACTAAATGGCAGCATCCCCTCCTTAGCCAACTCCTGATTCAACCTCGCATGCGCAAACGAAACAGCAAGCACATTCCCAAGATTACTCAACGCCACAAAAGCAGGAAGACTCCTCGCCGCTGCGCTCTCACCAAAGATGTTTCGGAAAAAGAGACCTGCAACGATGACTTCGGACTTGGCGAGGTCTGATTTCGGAATCGCTGCAAAGTACGCTACGTTGGCGAGGACGTATAGAATCGTTACGCCGCCGATGGCTATAGGCGCTGCGATGGCGAGGGTTTTCTTGGGGTGCTTGAGTTCGCTTACCACGTAGTTTGCGTTTTCCCAGCCTTTGTAGCTGTAGATGATATTCAGAAGGGCGTTGGAGTAAGCGTATGCGCCGCCGCCACCGTAGCCGTCTCCATCTTCGATTGTGAACGCGTTATCGAAGTTGTGAGGGTTGGGCACGCGGCGATGACCTGCGAGGGCGGCAAAGCCTGAAAAGACGATGAAGAGAAGAATGACGACTTTGAAGACGCCAAGGACGTTGAAGAGACGAATACCCCACTTTGGGGTTACACTGTGCATCAAGACGGCAAAGGTCACGCACGTCACTGCGATGCCGCGGGCTTCCCATCCATCGGGTGTTTCTCGTCCAGACGCAAAGAGGATATAGCGTCCGAAAGCAAGTGAGTTGCCAGAGGAAAAGCCGAGAAGAATCATCTGCGATGCGAGAACGCAGGTCGCCAGATATCGAGGACGGCGATAAACGCGCTCGAGATAATTCTTTTCGCCGCCAGATCGTGGAATGGCCAGGCCGAATTCGAGAAAGACGCTTAGGCCGCAGAAGGTGAGGAAGCCGCCTATCACCCAGAGCATGAGGGAAATGCCGACGGAGCCAGTAGCTGCAAAGATACTCGACGGCGTTGAAAAGACTAAAGGTCAGCGTGGTCACTTCATAAGATGGAAAACTTACTTCCTGTCCCAATCATCTTATTCAGAATCAAAAAGACAGCACCGGTGATACCAATCTTTCGATCCTCACTGTACGCAAAGTTCTGCGCGTCAATGGTACTCCCATTATCAGGCCTTTCATCACTGATGTCATTGTGTCTCAAGCCATCAAAGGCCTGGGGTTCTTTCCGGTCCGCCATTGCTGCTGCACAAACTAAACATGAGAATTACGTGCAACTTATAACAACGAAAATGAGGCGCAGATCGATGTCGACATTTAATCCTGGCGACACGGAATATGCAGTGAGTTACTCAAAACGGCAGGTCGTGAGATTTACGCCCGTTGGTGCGGCACACAAAAATAAGCTCATAAGCATAAGACAAGGTTTCAAGGGTGCCGATCCCACGACGTGGGGTGTGCGGATACGGATAATATGCAGTGTCATTAAAGTATCTAAAAGAGTCTAGAAGCAAAAGATGTGATCACTCATCTTGGCAGAAGCCCCGGGCTGCTCAAAGCCAAGGTTGCCAAGCGACGTCTTTGCCGCCTTTACCATCCCCGGCGGTCCACACAGCATGATCTTGGACTCTGCGCCTGGCGCGGGGAACTTTTCCTCCATAAGCTCCTGTGTAGCGTATCCCGTGCCGTAAGCCCAATTTTCCGGCGCCTTTTCTACAACGTAGTACAGCCGGAAATTCTGTGGGTACCGACGCGCAAAAGTTTCGAGTTCGTCGCGCAGAAGAATATCTTGTTCTGAGCGGTTCGCGTAAATGAGGCTAACCTGTGTCAAGTCGCGATCGTCTTCGCAAATAGCACGGATTATCTGAAACATGGGCGTTATTCCCGTTCCGCCGGCGAGCATGCCTATTCGTTTGCAGAGACCGTTCTTATAGCGCATTGCGCCCTTGGGACCGCGGAAGGAAACCTCATCGCCGAGGGAGAGGTTGGCGAGGTATTTTCCTGTCAAGAGACCGTCGGGGTAGCACTTAATGACGAGCTCGAGTCTGCCGAGATCGTTGTTGTTGGAGATGGGGGTGTATGAGCGGTTGACGATCTTGCCGTCGATCTCTGCCTTGATGGCGAGATGCTGGCCTGTTGGGAGACCGAGGACTGTTGTGGGTGTTGGGAGGCTGAAGACAAGACGGTAGACGTTGGGGGCGATTAATTCCTTCTCGGCTAGAGGGAGGGCGTGGTATGTTGTTGGGTCGAGCCAGCCTCGTTGGATTAGTGGGTTGACTTTTGTAACCTTTGGCATTTTCTTGTGAGGAGCGTAACTCATGAAGCCTCCCTCTTCAAAGTGAAGATGCTTGGAGAGTTTCTTGGCGGTGATTGTACCAGCGACGGTGAAGAGCGCTGAAGCAATCAAGAATCCTTCTAGAAATCCAGGTCCTGAGCTGCTGGTCTTCAGCTTGGGTAGTGAGTTTAGCATCTCGGTGTTCAATCGGTATGCTTGAAGTGCAACAGCGCCAACAGAAATAGCAGCTGTAGCTGTGAGTGCCGTTGAAGTAAAGCTGTTCCCAGCAACAGCCTTTGGCGTTGCCTTTTTGAGCGTCACAGCTTTAGGCGCGCCTCGTACAGGTGCACCACTGTATGTCCCAATGAGATACTCCTCCATAATCTCAAACGCATCTTCAGAATGACCTGCATTGTCAAACTCCACCGTCGAATCCTTTCCAGCGACTTCGATTAGAACATCCGCACCACCAGGATGATCCTCAATATATTTCGTAACATCATAGACTAAACCGTCAGAAAGATCTCACCGCCAAAACCAAAAAAGACATACCTTTTCCGTTAATGATTGTCCAACAATCATCACGAGTGCTGTGAGCAGCCACTTCCTTAGCAGTAAACGAAGCCATTTTCTCTAACCGTACAGAAAAACAATTACGGAGCGCAGGCGCGTTATATGAAGGCAATCAAATACCACCTCGAGGATTGGCCAGGTAATTTCCTCATCTGGTCAAGCCGAGGCTCCAAGGTCTTTTCTCGGCCGACTGTGGGTCCGGAACGGCCGAGAGACCGTGCTTGCTCCGTTTCATGATTTCACCAACTTTGAAAGGATATAAACCCGATCAAACATGGATACAAGGTTGCATTGACCGAGGCACGGAATTCGGTGTCAATGGATCCGTAAATGCCGTCGGATTTGTTCTTCATGCTTGAGTGTGCCAAAAGACATGATAAGCTGCCAGGATCTGTACCAATAAAAGCTGCCATGACTCAAATGCGTTATTTCCATACGAATAAGCTAATTTAGTCAAATCATCGATACCCGTCCAATAGTGCAAGCCACACCGAAACTTAAGTACTCACCGGCGTACAGCGGAGATTTTATGCGCCACCGAATCATCCCGTCCATGCGTCAAAATCTTCACCCCTATCCATATCCATATCCATCCATATCTACCGACAGATTGCAAGGTTTGGAGATCCACTCGAGATTGAGGCTCTGAGCCTCGGCTCATTTAACGTCGGTGGTCTATATAGACAGACACTCCGTAGCAGCCTGTCATTTGTTAGACAATTCTCAGCATTCATCATGGCTACTAAACGCTTCCATCTTATGGGTGAAGACCCTTCCACTGCCCAAGAAATTGAGATCCCTACGTCATTAGATGAGCAAGGTCTTCAACATTTGGTGGCGTCGCATTTTGCAATTGTTGATCCATCAGGTAAGTCGATTCACCGACCAAAGTGACGTCGCTAATTTTTAGGCATTGGCTTTGTCACCGAGTCTGATGCTTTGACGACTGTTGCAGACGTCCTCGCCGCTGATGACATTTCCATCACCATCGATGGAAAAGCTGTCCGTGAGATTCCAGGTCCAAAAGGTCTGCCTCTTGTAGGCAACTATTTCGAAGTCTACCCTGACCATCTCGGTAACCACCAACGGTTATTCGACAAGTATGGCCCTCTCTTCAAGACCACCAACATGGGCAGCACCATTTATCACACAAATGATCCCAAGCTGGCCAATATTGTTTTCGGCGAGACAGACTTTTTCTCAAAGCGCATCATCGAAGGCCACCCTCTGTTTCCCATCAAGAACAAGGAGGCTGGTGTTTTCCTTGGTGACACTGATACAGAAGAGTGGAAAGAGGTACACAAGTTTCTGCCTCCTGCTCTTGGTCCCAAGGCTGTGCGACACTATGCCCCTACCATGCAAAAGACTGTTGAGGATGCGTTCAAGGTCTTTGACGAACTCGATGAGCGTGACGAGGCTTGGAATGTGTATCCCTACATGTTGAAGCTTGGATCCCAGGCTGTCGGCAAGTTGGTGCTCGGCATGGACTTCCAACACTTTACCTCTCCTGATGCACGACCTCATGCGATGGTGATGAGAATTGCGCAATCTCTGGAACTCAACAAGAAAATTACCTCCATGGGCAGCTGGTACAAGAACCTCCCATTCGGTGACCCCCAACGTCTTCGTGACGCTCGTGCTCACATGGAGCTGATGATGAAGGAGTCTGTCGAGAACGCTTCCAAGGGTGAGGGCGACTTGGAATTGCAAGATGCTGCCGTTCAAGCCGAGAATATGGTCGATTACGTCCTTCGTGCTAGCGATAGCAAGGGCAACAAGCTTCCTCGTGAGCGCATTATGGAGCCCCTTGTTGTCGCCACTGGTGCCGGTTTCACAACGACTAGTTCTCTTCTGTCATGGCTGCTGTATGGCCTTGTTGCCTACCCCGGCATGCAAGAGAGACTCCTCCAAGAGATGGTCGACAATGGCTTCGATGAGAACACCCAAATCACTGCCGACCTGACCAACAAACTTACCTTCCTTGACAAATACATCAAAGAGACACAACGACGACACAACCCTTCATACCAACCTGCACGAACAGCATCCGTCGACATGATCCTCCCTGGTGGATATAAGCTTCCCAAGGACTCTATCGTCATTCCCGCCCTTCACCACATTCACAATAACACCAAGATTTGGGACAACCCAGCTCTGTTTGATCCCGATCGATGGGACACTGAGCGTGTCAAGAACCGCCCCAACGCTTCATACATTCCTTTCGCCACTGGACCTCGTATGTGCGTTGGTTTCAACTTTGCTCTCCAAGAAGTCAAGGTTTTCCTGCCCAAGTTGGTGTATCGATACAAGTTCAGTCTTGCACAAGATGGACCTGTTGAGTATGATCCAATGTTTCAACTAATTCGACCAAACAACCTGTATGTGAGGGCAGAGCGAAGGATAAAGTGGCCCTCAAAGAGCGATTAGATTGGAGTAAGGATAGACAAAAGTATAATAGATTTAATGTACAATAGATGAGATGAGATTACATATAAATATTGATATGCATGTGAGTAGATTGGTGTCATCCTCGCAGTGTCTACAAAGCTGAGTCTTGGGCAAGTAACTTCTTTGGATCGCCAGTCTCGATGACTCGCCCATCCTTCATGACAACGGCAAGATCAAAGTCTGTCACGTAATCGAGACGATGCGTGACTTCAATCACTGTTCGTCCTTGCATGACCTCTCGAATGATGTGCCGTACGTCTTTGTCGGTAGCGTTATCAACACTGCTGGTTGGTTCATCAAGTAGCACGATCTTTGAGTGTGAGAGTAAGGCTCGTGCGAGACAAAACAATTGGCACTGGCCGACGGAAAAGCCAAGTTCGCTGAGATCAGCATCGAGTCCACCGCGAGTGTCAATGGTTGCCCATAGGGTAGTCTTTTTCAGAGCGTCAATAAGCATTTCATCCGCTTGGATGAGTGCTTCAGGGTCAAGATTCTGTCGTACTGTGCCTGATAGATTCACGGGATCTTGAGGGATTGTCGTTATCTGGGATCGGATATGTTGACGCGGTATTGATGCGAGGTCTTTGTCGTCGATCTGGATGCTTCCTGATTGTAGCTCGAGTAACCGTAGAATTGAGAGCATAAATGATGATTTGCCACTGAGATGTCAGCTAGCTCATCGGATCATCAATTGGGGTTGGACATTACCTTCCAGTACGGCCACACACGCAGACCTTTTGCCCGGCTTCAATCGCAAGCGAAACATCGCGGAGAACAGGTTGAGAATCGCCACTAGACTGTTAGCGGAATCCCAAGAGCAGGCTGTCACATACCTGTATGATGCAGTCACTCCATCAAACACGATTCTACCGCCAGGCCAGTCGTCTGGGACTTCAGTTTCACCCGACTTGTTCTCATTTGGGGTATCGCTGATGAAAGACTTCAGCCGGGCAATAGCTCCGAGTGAAGTCTCGAGAGTCGTCCATTGATCAATCACCGTTGTTAGTGTCATATTGAGCCCCAGAAGGTTCACCATGGCGAGCCCAATCGCGCCCTCACTAGTGGTGCCAGGAATCCGCAGGGCAATCGTAACCAGCACGATGGCCATCCCGGCAACGAAGAGATCGAGTACTAGTTCCAACCATCGCTGAATACAAAACATTAGGTAGAAGGGCTTTTGCGAGGTGTTCAGCATGCGGAAGCTTTCAGCGAGAAAGTCGTTTGTCCACCCGAATGAGCGAATAGTTGCTAGCCCAGCTGTAATCTCTGTGAATTGTGTGTAGAGCGGTGTTTTGGCTTCCAGGTCCAGGAGTCGCATTTGTCGAGATGTGCGCAGGTAGTACTTTTGGATGAGATACAGAGCCAAGAATGAAACAGGGAGAAACGCGCCAAAGTAACTCGCTCCGGAGGCCACCACACCAACCTGAACAAGACACCTCAACGTCACTAGGAGGGTTAGCAGAGTCTCGCAGTGGGGAAGCACTTACAATCGAGTGTAAGGTAGAACGCTAGCGGGAGAGACATATCGATGAGTGTCATGTCCTGGCTGAATCTACAAAGATCAGTAAAGACTAGGGAAGCGGGTCTTGACCTACCGGTTCAGAATGCTACCACTTTCTGTTGATGTAAAGAAATGTAATGGGGCCCTGCCGAACCAAGTTAAATACGGACACCTCCATGACTGACGAGTCCAATACAAGACGGCGTACGTACCTGCAAACAGAGTTCAAAAGCTGCTCATGGAGATTGATTGATGATTTTTCGACGCCGACAATGAGAAAGTAACTAAAAGTCAGCAAGGCACCTTTTTAGGTGATTCACTTACTCAATGTTCAAAAGTGCCAGGGCCATTGAAGCAACGACTAGCCCTATATAACCTCCAGCATAGTGAGCATCCTTCGAGCCCTCACCTTTCTCCGTCCAAATTCGTAACCAGATTTCTACATCGTTAGCTTCGTCGGAGTGGCGCGCACAATACTCACGAGGCATGGCTTCAAGAACGGCGCCAATTACTGAAGTTGGAAAGATGATGCTAATCACTTTCCAGCCCATTGACTTGACATATATCTTGTAGCAATCTGTATCCCCAGTCTTCCGAGCTAAGTCGATTTCCCTCTTCGGAGGAAGCTTGACTATATCTTTCTGTACAAGCTGCTGAGTTTCGATTGGTGCGATAGTGTTTAGAGTTTCGGTGGCTTCAAGTTGAGAGTATTGAACTTGGTTGCGAGTGATTCGGCCTTCTTCAATTACGGAAACAAAGTCCGCGAATGGCAAATAGTGAACTAAACTGTTAGAAAAGCTTCAAATCGGGAGAGATCATACCGTTACTGGTTACCAACACAACGGTGCTTGACCGAAGCAGCCCTTCAGCTACCAGAAGGCGATGGAACACTGCATCAGCAGTCGTTTTATCAAGGCTGCTAAAGACATCATCAAGTATGATGAGCTTCTTTCGCGAGTACACAGCTCGTGCAAGAGCAACCCGCTGCTTTTGGCCTCCACTCAACGCCACTCCACCAGAACCAACAATTGTCTCTTGGCCTTGGGGCAGTTGATGGAGATCCTCTTCCAAAGCGCAAGCATGAAGGACTGTCGACAGCCACTTGTCGTCCATCGGCGAAAGCCCAACGACGTTTTCTCGAATTGTGGTGTTGCGGAGCCATGGTACCTGGTCGCAATACGCAAGAGAGTCCTGGGTCTTGACCGTCCCCTCCGATGGTATAAGTTCACCGATGATCGTTCTCAAGAGTGATGACTTTCCGCAGCCCACTCTGCCTACGAGCATGTTTAGTGTCCCGGGCGAGATTTGGAGGTTGATATTGGTGAGCAAAGAATTTCCGTCGGGTGTCTGAACGCTGACGTTCTGTATAGTGACGGCATCAACATCGACAGCCTCCTTGGCAGCAAGCTGCTCATCCAGGAGCAGAAAAGCTTGAATCCTGCCACTTCCCCCGACAACACCTGCGATCTGCATCAAAGAGACGAGAATCATGACAAGGGGCTGAGTCACAACAGAAATCAGGGACAGTGATGTGAACGCTTCTGCGACACTTAGGCCTCCATCTGCTTTGGTCCAGTAAATTGCAGACATGATGACAACCACTGGAGTCAGCTGGGCAGATATCATGGCTGGATAGTTAGCGATGTAAGTCAATTATGAAGCAACTTACCGAGAGCATTGAAGTAGACAAGCAACCATCGGAACTTGGCAGACACTTTGAGCTCATGGACTCTGAGGCCCTGGACCATTTTGAGAAAGAAATCTGTCCAGCCCATCATTTTGATGCCTTTCATCTGATTGAGCATGCTTGATGTTTCACCAACTCGCTTTTGAACAGCTTCATTCCACTTCACTGTCGCTGGTTCCATGGCTGGAGAGATGACGCCACTGACAATCGTTGTGACTTGACGGTTAGCTTGGTCAAACGAGGGATGGAGTACTCACTGACGGTCGGGACCAGCACAAGCAAGCTAGGCTTGCCAACTTGACGATAAAGCAGATAAATTCCCACAGGAAGCTCCAGCATGTTTGCCCACATATCATGGACCGAGGCTCCAGCAGCAACAATCGTCTCCACGTCCGCAGTCATGAGTGTAACAGGTGCAGAGTCTTTGATGGAAGTTGTCTTGAGTTTGAGCGTCTTCTTGAAAATCAAGGACACAAGTCCACCTCTGTACATAGTCACCAGCTGGTAAGACATGTGTTTGTGCCAGGCACCAGAAATGGCAAGGCCAAGGTAGATGAGGACTGTTGCTCCGATGAGCCCACTGGAAGTTTGCACCGACATTTCCTTTTTGCTGACGAGCACGATGACGGATTGGATGAGGAAGGGTTGCGCAAAGTTGAAGCCGCTGTGAAGGAGTCGAGGGATGATGCCGGCAGCGAATTGCCATTTGTAAGCGAGGAAGGTGGATTTCAAGAGACTGGGCTGGCCACTATTGCGGGCTGCAACTGTTAGACATCTACAGTAATAAGGTTCGCCATAGATTGGAGAGTCGTGGCCTACCTCGTTCCCATTGTTTCTCCAGCGGCGTGGATACATGGTCTGTGTCGAACTTTGAGTCTATCGCCTGTAAGTCTTCGGTCTCGAGAATAGTGCGATGGCCTTGCAGGAAGAGTCCATTCAACCACCAGAAGAAGCTCCTATTGACCACTCCAGATGCTGTCTCTTGTATCTTTTCCTTGTCACTGAGTGGCGATTTCGGCGTTTCTTCCAAGATCAAGAGGATCGTCTTGATCACAAACGAGGCAGTGAAAACACTTGCAATACTGTGCATCGATCGTATCCAAAAAGTTCGGACGAGGGCAATGTCGAGGATGATGGTTATGACGAGAAATGCTCCGATCAACTTGGATGGTTTCCTGGAGTTTCGGTGTTCAACAAACGACAGAGCGGCAAGCGCAAATGATTCAATCAATCCAAGGACGGGCTCGGCGATTGCTGTTTTTGTTGAGTTTTGTCGGCACCAGAGGACAAGCAAAGCGGTTTGGAGGCAGGCATAAATGGCAATCAGGGTCTGATTCGTTAGCACATGAAGTAAAAGGAACTGGTTGCTTACCATTTTTGCCCATAGCAAAGGTTTAGATTTGGTGGCCCTCTCATCGTTCCAAAGTACGTAGAGTCTTAACGGCACAAGCAAGATGAACAGACCAGTCGGGAGAAGAGACAAAATACTTTGCTCAAAAAGGATCGTGAAGTCGAAAACACCCGCTCTCTGCGGGCCAAAACTGTTGTTCGCACTCATGGTATGAGTCTTTCATAATCTCGAGAAGTCGCATGTTGTCGCGTCTCTCCTGGTTATATACCATGAAGCTGAAGGAAGCAAAGATGCCCGGCGCTCCAAGGCACCTGAACAGGTTTAGCGCGGAGTCATGATTGCTGATGGTGGGGTCATACGGAATACGCAGTATGGGGTACGAGTTAAGCTTGGTGCTGACCTACTAAGATTGTCACGCGATCGATAATATAATCAGCGCGGCTCATTTTGATTCCGCCCAGCAGCAGAGGTGCAATATCGATATCAGCATCCTTCAAGGTGCCATAGTATCTGTGGATACCTTCAGTGATATTACCTTTCTCATTAATCGACGGGAAGGGACGGAAGCGAGAATTATGGAGAACTTGGCGTGCTGGACAGCAGAGTTCCAGTGGTTGGTACCCACTGATGCCCTGTAGCACGACTGCTGTTTTTCGGAGGAGCAAGCGTCCCAAGACCCATTCATCGCAGGAGAAGTCAGGCTACAGGGCCCAACTGGCAGAATGCCCGCCTTGAGAGAGGGTCCAATTCCGGCAGCCCTTAAACCCAGACATGGACATCAACAACCAATGCTTGCACTTTCGGCCTTCGCAATGACTTTATTGACAAGCCTTCTAATCCAGAGCATTTTTGACCACAGCAAAATATGTGTAGACAACAGAGGGACTCTGACTGCAGGTTGGCCACTTACAGGCTTTTCCTTCGCATCGAAGTACCCAGGTCCCCTGATTCCAGTGGAGGTGTGCAGATGGCTCTGCCCCACTTAATCCTCTGCACACACCATTGCACTGTTCTGCGCCAAAGGTCTCAAGAGAGCTTCTCCGCCGCACCTTAGCTTTCGCTTTTCCTTCGCACCAGCTCCAACAGAACGCAGCGCAGCGTTATTCAACCAACACATGGTGAGATTTCCGTGCAAGGAGCAATCACTCATAAATAGCTTCGCGAGTCTGGCGCACTTCATTTTACCGACCAGCGTCTGCTTCACATTCCCCCGAATAACCTGAACTTCGACATGCTGCCAGACCTCCCCACATCTTGATCACTTGCCAAGCACGCCGCCGCAGCAAACCCGACCAGCGCCCGGAAGCACCGCGACCAAGTTTCCCCGACTCCGAACTGCAAAAAGCGCTGCAAGCTCCTCCGAGCAGTCTCCTTCCGCCGTGACCCGAAACTGAGCTCTTGGAAAGCCTCATCTGATTCGAGCAGTATCAATTTCACTTTGATTCCAAGTTGTTTGGCCGGTGGCAAAGACAGTCGCGAAGTAATCCACGACGCAAACACCCAGGCGTTTTGTGTGCACAAACGACTCAAACACAAGATCTGTCGCCTATCAATCCCAGATGAACAAAGCGAAGCGAAAGGAATCCAAAAGATACGGTTGTCTTGCTGCCTGATATTCTCGACTGTAAGAACCTCCGTTCCTCCCGCCCAACACCGCTTTCATCCGGCATCTTACCCCAGCATCCTCATCTCGACACTCACTCATATACATCCAGCGCAATGCCCTCTTGTCAACGTATAGAGGCAGCAGCAGCTCGGTGAAAGCACATATATGTATCTATATATATATATATATATATATATCCAACGACGGCTCATTGAGAACCTAGCAAGTTGTCCTTGTTCTTCCAGAAGTGTTTTGCTGTATATTACGACCTGAAACTAACAAGATCAATAGTAATCATGGAAGAAGCCAAACAAACGACAGAATCGCCACTTATATATTGTCCCTAGTACCCTTTCATTTTCTCACCCACTTCATCGACATGACCGAGACAGACACTCAGCTGTGTACGAACCGAAGGAAGGGTAGTCGTACTTCAGCAGTCGTCCCTTCTCCGAGTCCTTGTCGTATTCGACTATACAGAACACCCCCTTCCCTTTTGCATATCCTTGCCTTTTGGAGAATCGCACAAGGCCTTCATCCCTAACTACCTAGCACACATCCTTACATCTTCATATCTTGGCTTCATTACCTCTCGACTTCATCACATCTTCAAATCCCCTCTCCTGAAATCCTCCTTTCCTCACATATGCAAGTCCTCAGAATGAGTGAGATCCCTGATCCTGCCCACGCACTGCCGGCCCCTTACCTCATTTACAAGAACCAGCTGAGTGATGACCAGAACCGACCGCTGGACAAGCTCTGGAACGAAATGTTCCGCAAAGAGTACCCTAAATGGGGCCACCTCCGGTCTGAAGCCGACAAGGCCGAATGGGTCTACTGGGCCAACCACCTGAGGACTGCCAAGTCAACCGACAAGTGCTATAACCGTCAGCTTGGAAAGGCAGGGACAGATGGCAATCGGCGAATGAGCTGGGAGTACATCTACGCCGTCCTTTGCAACCCATGATGGTCTCTTCAGACCATCGCGAAAGGTGGCAAGGGAAAGGGGTGGGCAGGCAGAGCCGCTGCCGCATACCCGAATGCCAGTATCTGGCGGGGACAGCTCAACGAAGGTAAGTAAATACAAGGACACCGGTGACAATCTCACTGACTCTTTTCCTGCAGACGCCGAAGAAGCTACCCTTGCTGAGCGCCCAACTCAAGTAACTAAGAGTAAGTAAATACAATGACACTGGTCAATGCCACTGACCCTTTCCTTGCAGAAGTCCAAGGCGCCCGCCATAAAGCTCAGTTCATGAAGACTAAGCCCGGCAAGGGTAACGCCAAGACCAGGGAAAATCCCTTTGGAGCTTTCATGCGCAAGAGCCAAAAGTTTAAGACTACCAAAAAACGATTGAAGAATGCGACCAAGAGCCTCCATACAGAGATCAAGTCAATAAGCTACTAGCTGCAATACAACGCGTCAACAGCGATGCCCGGGAGCGCGACGAAACAATCCTCTTGCTCAAAAGTAAGCTTCGGGAGAAGCAAGAATCCACCCAGGGAAGTGACAGCCGCAGTCGATCCGCAACTTTGAGCCCAGGTCCCGAGGCGACTGTTAGTTGTTCTCGAGCGTCATTTCAACCCTTAAGCACTCGGGTTTGGTGCTGGGGATCGGCGGGAAGGGAGGCCCTCGACATCACCCTGCACGCCGACCCGACCCCTAAGGCAGCTCTAATCGCCGCACTGTTTCAGAGGGAAGGATCGCCAAACCCCATCACAACAGCAGTCCTCCCGCCCTTGGTCGTAACCCTCGCACTCCTATTGCTAGCAGCTGGAGATAGCCCCAAGACCCCCCCACCCCCCCAAAAGGTGGCAGCTTCGATTCTGCTCCATCAAGGGCCCGATCCCAAAGATCACGAGTTCCAGAACACAGGAATTTGTTTGAGCATGTGATCAAGCTCCAGTGGTCCGTTATTCGCGCCGCAGCTCTGTCAGGTGGACCATTCGACGACGAATCTTTGTCGTGTGAGAGTGAGAAGGCTTTTTAAAAGTCAGTTCTCAACGACTGTGATGAGGAAGCCCGGGGATACCTATCAGAGTCTTAGGAAGACGAGCAACAGGGCAGCATTTACAAGGTGAACAAATGGCTTGATCAGTTGAACCCGGAGAGAGGCACAATTATCGTGGCGCCGTCATCTAAGTTCAGGGTAGACTATCCTAAATCTTTGTAAACTCATGACAAGTCTTAGGATAACTTGAGGATATATTATGATGATCTTTACTTGAACACACGACTAGCCTCCGGGGGAACTTGAGGGCGCCACATCTCCCGCTCCTCCTTGCATACCTTTCATTCGTTGCCTGACCCTGGTTCTACTGCACAACCTTCATCAACTCGTGAACAAGGCTGGCAAGTCCGCGGAAATCTCCCTTAACAACTCGGTCCAGGATATTCAGCACAGTTTGTGTAAATGTCATGGTAGTTCCCTCAAAGGCATCTTGGGGGTGCGTCTTGGTGACACAGCGTGGCCGACAGCATTCACAACGAGCAAGATGCTCTCACCGATTGGCTGACAAGTCAGGTACAGGAGCGTGGGATTGTAACTTACAGGAACGGTCGATGGTCTCCAATCACCCCAACCGGCACTGTCTCAGGCATTCACCAGTCCGACAGAAGATCTCTCGGCAGGGCTTCTATCGGAGGTGCACCTGATCCTTCTCCTGGTACAAAATTTACTGCCCGAAACAGAGAAGAATGTGTCGCCATCTGAGATAAATATAAGAAAGAGGGGCAAGCTCTCTATGGTGTGCTCACGTGGTTCGACGCAAGCGACTTGCATAGCCACGAAGACCTTCAGTGTATTCTTTCCAGCATCACTCCCTCCACCTTGGAAGATGCCAACGCAAAAAAACGCCGACTTCGAAACAATTTTCGCAACCTCTTCGGGGGTCTTCCTGATCTTCCTGAAGCCCGAAGGGGTTCCCAGCAACCTTCTCCTCTCCCTGGTCCTCGACGGACTGACGAGGAGCCCTCATCTCGTCAGCAACAACTGGCACTCCCTACAGTTGATCTTAGACAGACAGCTGGTGAGCCGTCAGGACGTGCTTGGCGTGGGACTCGAAGTGGCAAGCGTGGCAAGCGTCCGGTGAATCGCAGAGGCAAGCAGCAGGGTGATATAGATATGGACGCTGGAAATCATGACCAGGCTGGCGATGTGCCCTCGGCAGGTAACGAAGGGGCGAGGACTGCGACTGGGGTACGGCTTGATGGCGATGTCACCACCCTGCAAATAGAGGACACTGCCCCTCGGCTTAGCGCACTCTCGTTAACGGATTCTTGGAGGGCGTTTATCTCTTCATCTTTGGCCTTGAGCTTGGCCTCGTATTCTTCTCGAATTTGTGAGATTTCAAGATCCTTTTCTTGTAGAGATTGTCGTGAGGACTTGAAGTTAGAAACCCCAGCCTCGCGTACGGCGTCTTCGAGATTCTCAAACGTGCGCTACATTTCTGTCGATTGCCTTTCATGAGCCGCTTCTAGAGCTCGTCTAACAGCATCTCTGGTTTCATTGTAGGCGTGGCGGAGGGCAGTAATGACCTCCTCTCTCATACTGTTCTCGATAGCCTTGCAGGCCTGGTTGTGCGTCACCGTCCAATCTTCGAGACTTTCCTGCTGGGACACTTTGGAGGAGGATAATTGATGGATCGGATACACCACCCCGATCTAATTCTTGGGTTGGCTTTTTGAAAGATCTGTAGTAGAGAAAGAATTTTACGATGTGACCTTGCTGTTTTGTTGGTGCAACGGCCCCGCCTGTACTCAAATACAAACCCCACTCTGGCAACTGTGATGCAGAGCAAACAACTGGTGACTGAATCGAGAGGCTATTGAACGGAGGGGGCTCCTTGATTGACTAGAGCTCTTCTTCCAAATTTCAACTCTTTCTTATCCAACCCTGGGATACATTCCTCCTTTGCGTCTTAGCATCAAGGAGGTAGGCGTGGATATAAGGCTCGACGAGGAGAAATACCCTCGCCGGCGCATGCAAAATCTCTTGAAGACACAACTTCCACCAGCAACTCACGTCTCCGAGATGCAGTGTGATAGCACAAGTTTGGACTGCCTGATTGTCCTCATTCGTCACATCCAACTTCACATGCATCAGCATTATCCTTCCCCAGACCACTCGGCTATGGAGGCTCGCAATCCCATTCTTTTCCTGGCCTGGTTTGACTTTGACCGGGACGTGACAGTCGCTTGGATAGAGGTCAAGCAAAATATTTGGAAACCTCTTGGTCCCGCCAGCTCAGACGATCCCAAGCTCCAGTTCGAGAATCTTTGCAACTGTGACCTGGTGTGGGAGGCCTCCTGGGGTCGTGGTGAGTTCAAGCTACTCAGAGCGATCTTGGACAAAGCCGCCGGCGAACCCTGGGACATTCGACCACAAGTGGCGGAGCAGATGTCCACCAACGTTCTTCCGTTCGATCCACGAGAAAGGTCGGATGTTTCCTTCAACGAATACATCTCTACATTCCTCAAGCAAAGACAGGCAACAGACGGCTCCCAGACAATGAACCTTTGTGCAAGACCGAATATCATGCAAGTCAAGTACACCAGACGCAAAGAATTCACACCTGTGATACGAGGAAAGCGGAAAGCGGTCACCTTGTAGAGGATGAGGTCGATGTCAGTGGGATCAAACATCTCAGTTTTGATGTGGAGGAGGATAGAATAGAGCCACCTAGAGAATGAGTGGTATATTTAACGATAGAATTTCAGACTGTTCGCTATGTTGAGCTCGCGATTGCGTTGTAGTCAGACTCACACAAAATTAATTCCTCGCTCTGGTGTGGTGATTGTTGGTAAATCTGACTTAGGAATGATACAGCGTAACACTTAATATCTGCAATGGGCATGAGAATTCCATGACATATTTTGACAATCAATATGTCAATAACACGAAAGGCTATGGCACGGAGGAAGATAATTGGTCCACTCGGGCATAATTGCCGAGCTTGATGATTCAATGCAATAGTTATGAATGTGAGGGCTCAAAGTCTATCTCGCCCACCGAAGTCAAACAGGCTAATGCAATAGAATGAGTGGTTGGACAAATTGCATGTAAAATCATTTAAAACTCTGTGTCGTAGTACCTGTGCACTAGATTGCACCTGATACGGCTTCTGCATTCTCATGTTCCTCCTCACTATCATCCTCCTCCGATTCATTAGGTACGGAGAACAGTCTGTTAGGACCACTGGGATGAGGTATAATTTTGAAACGATACGTTTCCCTCTCGGTTCTGGTAGTTTCATGGATGCACTGGGTATCAGAGTCATGTATCACAGCGCAGCAATGCCCGTCCAAGTCAGCCGGCCTGTGTCTTTTCGAAACGTGACGTCCATCTTCCATAGTCCAACCTCCGTTACGTTTCAATAGATCAGCTGCAACATAGAAACTTCCCTTCGTTGCAAGTCTTATAGCCTGAACAAATTGGTCACGACCGGGTCCTGTAATGAGAGCACCATGGTAGATCAAAAGTTCCAGCATATTAACCCTTCCATATTCTGCTGCACCTTCTAGTGACGTCCTCCCATGAGACTGGGCACCTCGGGCGTTTACAAGAGCTCCATGGTTCAGAAGCTCACGCGCTATGCCAAGGTGTCCCTCTATAGCAGCGAGCTGCAAGGCGGTCGCACCAGAATTGTTTGCTGGTGCAGCGTTCACGTTTGCTCCGCCGTGGAGAAGACAATTCACGAGTTCCAGATTGCCAGCTTCAACTGAAAGCTGGAGTGGGGAACGACTCTGCCCATATTCATTCAACCCATACTCGTTGATATCCGCCCCAGCATTTAACAAACACTGGACTATCTCTTTGTTTCCTCGTTCTACCGCAGTGCATAAAGCAGTTGGAGACCCAGAAGTAGTTGGAAGGAAGTTATCAAGTCGTTGTTGGTATCTGGCTAACAGCTCCAAATGAGGACGACTTTGATTATCAGCAATGGTGATCCAGGTAAGTGGATCGGCTTTGTAACCTTGACGTAAAAGCTCTTCAAAGCATGAGATGTTCGAGCCCAGGGAAGCAAGTGCTAAGGGACTTCCATAAACACATTCACAAGAACGTCCAGGATAGCGCCAGAACAATGGTTCATCATACCAAGATACAACGCCAGTGATAGTTTTTTTGAACTCCGAATGAACGGGAAGTAGTGCAGAATTGGCCTCCTTAGCTTCTGGGAAATACTGAATGAGATGTTGCAAACAGTCTAGACGTCCGGACATGGCAACCAAACCAACAGCTGTGCCTTCGAAAACGTGATATTCTGATTGTGTAGGGCGATTCGTGAGAATAAGTTCAATGAGGGACAGGCTTTGGGTTTGAGCCGCTGCGCATAATGAGCCCGGGTCGTAATAGCTCTTATATGCCGTGGTGACTGATGAAGATACGCCACAGCGTAAACATGCAATTGCAGCTTCGAGAGATGACACTCCACGCTTATCCATATCTTCCCAGCCTGGATGGTAGCGTAGAACAAGGGACAACAGATCCCGGTCCCGAGAACGAATCACTGAAACGATTTCTCCTGCATAGCGTTTCGCTCCATGACTCAATAAAATCTGAACAGCCTGTAATCGTCGTTTGACCTGAAAGGATCGGGTAGAATCGTAGAACTCCGTAACACTATCAATAACAATTTGAAGCGCACTCTTTCCCCGCTTGTTTTGCACATTTGCGCTGCTGCCATGGGTTAACGCGGCGAGGATCGTGTCGGCGGGAGCACTCTTCGCTAAGTAGTATGTCTCACCCCCGGTCAGCCGAGCACCGTTCTCAATCAAGGTCCTGAGGTAATAGAATTGGGGTTGCTCAGAGGTTGCCCAGAGTGGGCGCCTTGCACATGTGTGCAATAGCGTCTCGAACACACTAGGCGATGATTTCCTTTTGAAACGGTCCATCAAGTCATGGCAAACCCTGACGCACTCAGGGAGGTCTGCTGGGGGGATAGCCTCATTCACATCTGCTCCCTCGTTTAAAAGAAACTGCAAAATGTCTCCATGCTCAAGGTAGGCAGCAAGAAAAAGGAGAGCGGGTGAATACCCCCCATAAAGGCGTAAAAGAAGCCTGCATGTACTTAAATGACCAACTGACACAGCCACCTGCACCGGCGTAATACCACGTGGGTTGCGAGTATTCCCAATAGTGGGATCTATCTCATGCAGTCGATTGATGATTGAATCAGCACCTTTCGCGGCGGCAGCAATAAATGTATCTGCTGTGATCAGAGGGGCTTTCAACCTCGACGGATCCATGAAGGCCATTTGATTCAATATCGCTTCTGTAACATCACTGCCAGTTGCGATAGCGGCACTTAATACAGTTTGCTCATACAGTGAACCACGGTTATGGTCGGCTTCCAGTGCTTTAGTCAAGTCGACACCTGTTGTCAAAGGGGAATTGATGAGATCCAGGTCTCGTAGGCTGATTGCTGCATAAAGGACCTCCTCCCATCTGAGTGAGACATCATACCGAATGAGTAGATGGACAATGTCAATTTTAATATCATCGGGCCGGGCAGACTCAAGGGCTAGCTTGAGGGCTGATTTTCCGAAAAAGCCTCTGTAATTTATATCCGCACCGAAATCGAGGAGTAGCTCCAAAAGACGTGCATGACCCATTAAAATTGCGAATTCGATCGGTCGCACACGTCTTTCCCTTCCTGTTGATAGCTCCAATTCTTTCCTCCTCATCTTCTTATTGGGGTCTTGACCAGATTTGAGGAGCCATCTGAGAAGGTCAAAACTCTGGTTCGGGTCGTGTTTCGGGTCTGGAGCCCACTTAATCGCGCATTCAAAAAGTATCTCCAATAGTGCTCCCATAGTGATCTGAACATCAGAAAAGACTTTTAAGTCAATCTGTAGATCCAGGATACCAAGTCCTATAATAAGGTTATGGAACTCTACCCATTCATGACGTGTTCGAAATTGATGATGAAGTCCGTTAGATAATTGGTAGATGATCAACTTCAAATATCGTGGCACGGCGTCCCTTGCCGAACCGTGCAGAAGAATTTGAGTGGTTTGTACGTGTTCACCCTCATACCACTCTGGTACGGTCTTGCCTATATTTGCGGCCATCTCAGAGACGTTTGTAATATGATTGCTTTCGTGACTTTCTTTAGCTATGTCGCTTCTGCTTTCATGAAGCAGGCCGGCCTGCAGTAATCGCGGTATCACATCGATAGGAGGACAGAGATTGCCTCGTTGCTGAAAGTTGAGAGCCACCATAGAAATTCATGTTAGCTGTTGTAGGTATAGCAGATTGAATATCAACTTACGTGTTTGGTATGTGTTCTGGAATTTCATCCAAGGTAGAGACACTGGCCATTCATATTCCATCCGAAGGGATGGGGGAGTGCAGATAGTAAGGCAAGGGTTGACCGGGGATGGCGGAGGGGAGCGAGCTGTGTTGGTTATAATTATTAGCTCACTATTTAGAGGGCTCAACCTGATTTAATTATTACCTTGTGCCATTTGTGTGAAGATATCTTTGGCGCCATGATCGGTAATGGCTTTGCTGATAGCTGACTGTTTGAGACGTCTTCCTGACAGGATGACATCGGTATCCTTTCCTTGAGCTTTACGCTTATTGATTCTGCGATCAATGTACTGCCATGTTGGCTTGTCCATCTTCTTTAGTATTCCCCATGCCTTGAGTTTGAACTGGAGTTGGAAGGACCTAAACGAAAGTCAGCGGAATAGCAAGCAATCCACCCCCATATCGATACTGACGTTACGGTAAATCCCATACACGAGAGGAAGCTGACGAGTTCTTTCAATGACATGTTGCGCACGAGGAATTGATATCGGATAATCTCCTTGTACTGGAGCCATTGTTCCTCGTGTATTGAAGGGCGGGGGCCCATCAGCTGAGACTTTTGAAGATTCATACTTGAAAGAATCCAAATTGAAAAAAGTTAGGGACAATTTACAAAAGAATGGATCGGGATTTTGCTTTGCAGAGATGAAGGTGTTGGGATTGAGGATCAGAAAGATGCCTCAGGGACCTGTCCCTAATTTGTATGCGGTGAGGCTCTGGAAGCTATGATATGATTGGCCGCAGCCGAAATCTGGAGTGGCTTGCCAAGTTTGCGCGTAAGAAAGGGTGACAAGGGGTTTATGCAAGTACTAAAAGCGGTCGCGTTCCGAATGATCCACTCTCCTGGCCATGAGTGGTTCTTTCAAGCCCCAGCAACTTGTGATTCGTCACGTCCGAAATCTGGATGGCTGTGCTGGTTTCTCTAGGCGCTTGTCTAGGTTGCTGTTGATCCTTGTGGTCGCAGATTCTGACCCTGTTATTGGCCGTGTCCGAAATATGAGCCCCACCGTCAATGATCATGGACGGTATCAGTCAAACTGACATTAAGTTATTGGCCGTTGCCGAAATCTGAATTGCTTCCTTCTATGGGTCATGCATAGAAGTGCATGGGGTGCAGTGATCTACGAAAAACTTTGTGATTCTTACCTATAGCTAGAGGTATAAAAATCCTCTTCGGTCTTGGTCTGTAAAAGATTAGGAGCTGAGTGACATTGTGACAACAGTGCATATCTCTCTCACAACTTTTTGCGTCACAAAAAAATACCCCCTCATTGTTCTTCGACTGAAAGAATTCCCAACCACGACTTGCCATGAACGTTGAAGCAATTATCGCTATCGTGACCTTAGTCGTTGCAATTCCCCCAACCGCCTACATCGTTTGCAAGTGGTACGATAGACAACAACGCAATTCTTCATGTAATAACCCCATCCAAACTTTCTGCAGACACCAACTCTCTCCTCCTGGATTATTAGGCTAACTCCCTGACTAGCGGTAGAACAATTCTACTCAGATGTAAACACCAGACCACGCAGACACAACTCGCAAATCCTTTTCTCGATATCAGAACGTACCGTCACTTTTGACCTCAGAGTTGAGAATGTGGGGTTTAAAAACCAGAAGCATCGCGTAGCTGGACCTTCGGATTGGGACGAATGAAATTTCTTTATGAATTTGTTGAAGAGTTCGCCGACATATTTGACTAAATCATTTTGATTTATTAGCCACCTTTATCTACAGCGGAGACCTTGTTAGTCTCCTAGAACTTGTGATTAAGGATAAGCTAATATTAAGAAGGCGCAAATCAATAGAGGATCAGGCGTGAGTATCAGACATTGCACCTTGGTCCACTAACTACGATGACAAGAAATAACTTTTTGCTCTCCCATGGCACAAAAGATGGTAACCGCTTGGTGTTTGATCAGCGTCTTCATATTGTCTCCGCTTAGTGATATGTGGTTTGACTTACTCAGCCCTTCCTTCTCATTCTCGCAAGCCTCAGTGATCTCCTTACCAGCCTCATTCTCCGGCACCGGGATATCAGTATGGCTCTCAACCTTGCGAAGAGAAATATAGACAAAGAACTATTCAGACTTTCGATTTCCCATCAGATAGTACTGTTTGCTTCCGCCACTCCTCAAAGTCAGCTGCCACGAAGGTCGTTCCAGTGTACAATCCTCTGATCGTGAAAGCAGATACCAACACCCAGAGTAAGGCAACTTTCGCAGCAGAAATCTATCGATATCCATTAGTCCAGATTTACCTTTGAACGGGGACCCTTATCAGAACTCGCTGTCCCCATAGATTTGAAGAATGGCGATGGAAGCTCATTCCCAAAAAACATTGCTGCATTAGCCCAGACGCCAAGGGGAAACGTAAGTGCCCAGGAACCTAGCTTGAACGGAATTCGCCCCCGAGCCAGGCATGATATACCAATGACTAGCCAAGAAAGTCTATAAGACCACAGGAAAGGCTTGTGAACCAGCCCAAGACATAAAGGTGGGTACCATCTCGTGTACCTTGCTCGCCAAGTATGTTTAATTTTTCAATAGCCGTTGCGGCTACCTTTCCTAACTTCAGTACTGCAAAAGCACCTCGACCAAGTCGAGCTACTGGTATTAAGCAAGAAGCGACGAAATCTCGATGAATGAGGTCGCCTAACAAACTCCATACCTTTAGCATTTTGTTTTTGATGGACTTGCACAGATTGCATCTCGGCACTTAGCTTGGAGGCCCACTCCAAAAGGCTTCTTCGGTGGTTTGTCGCGTCTTTTCGCTCTATTGCCTGTAGCTGCTGTTCTTTATGGTTACATTAAGCCTTTATTAGTTGGATGTCTCCTTGAATATTTTCTGCCTTTACTCAGATGTCTTTAACATAGCTGTAAAGCTCGGACTGGAAGGAATAAGAGGTAACGACCAGGGTCGGCAAGCGACGATAACGTTTCACTGGCAGCAGGTAATAACTGCAATATAAATATAGAAGATTAAGCTTTTAAGGCAAGGTAAATCGTTTAACATAACTTAATATTTAGTAAATTGTATATATAATAAGCTAAAATCATATAAAAGCTCAATAATTAATTAAAAGTAGAAAGTAAAGTTTATAAAAAACTACTCAAGTTAATAAAGCATTAAGGAAGTAGCAGTAATATCTGAATATTAAAGATATTACCTAAATAAAACCATAAACTAATAGAGTGATATTAAGGTTTAATTAAATATATATATCAACTATACGTATAAACTATTTAATAATCTATAGAAATAAAGCTAGCCTTAAAGTAATGCTTTTTGCCCTTTAGTCTTTATCTAGATAATTTAACTTAGCAGTAAAAGTAATAATACTTTAGAAGTTATAGGCAGTGTTCTTAAGCTAGTGTAGCCTTTTGCGATTATTATCAGTTCAAATGGCCTGGAACCCGACAATTATGCTATCTAGCTCCTTGACTGCGGCGACTGACTTAACCTTGCTAGTTGGATGTTTGGAGGCCACGAGCTTGGAGAGTTCCATGAAGTGAACATCGATTTTGCGACAGTCAAGTTTGTGCGGACGCAGATAAAAATGCAAGAGGGGGATCAACTGCGGTCAGACCTTAGCAGCCTGATCAGAGGCCTCACGCAATGCCGCATGGAGCTGCAGGTTTTGAGTGGGTACAAGGATGGGAAGGCAGATTTTGGATGCTCAGCCTCTACAAACTGTCAGTCAGGCGCAAATGCATGTCGGTCGTTCTAGAAATTAAGTCTCAAATGGAGATGTTAAATATATTATCAGGCCTGGAACGGTAAATGAGATTTTGACACAGGTCGGCCGGCTACTATTTTGGCATATTGGTCTTGAGCGCAATTTCTTTGAATGTTGACACATCCATATGGGCTATAGACATCGACAGGCTGTGGGGATCTGGACACAGTAATTGGCCTGGGCCACCAGAACAAGCCTCTTTCAGTATGGAAATGTACAAATGGAAATTCACAGCCTTGTCATATGATCCAACAGCGTTAGGAATTGATCATTTTACTGTTGGTCACGTAAACAGGCCTTAGCAGCCTGATTTCGAATTGAAGTACGTATAAAAAGCTCACAATGCCTCCAACCTAGAACTCTTCTTACTGGTTTACTTGCACTTCTTTCCAAAATACCACTATAAAGCTTTAAATTCAAACTCTTGAGGTCCCTTTAAACAAGTCACACGAAACCATTTGATAGTCTTTGGCACAATGCCTCAGCTTTTCGTCCCCAATACCGACCAAGAGGATAATTTCTCATTTGATCACACGCCATCGTATTTATTCAGACTTTATACACCAAATTCGGCTGGCTCAACTGATATCAGCCATGTCGCGTCACCGGCCTGGGTTGAAGGCTCTTCGCAAAAGGATGCTAAGGGCTTCGACTGCGACATGGACCTTCTCCAGCTTCCTTCAGATCAGGCCGCAAAAAGATTAAGCGCACATCTCGAATGGAAATGCCAATACCGGAGTCCGTGTAATCTCATGTCTTGGTCCTCTTCTCTTCTGTTTCTCCTCCAATATGGCTTATTCCGACATACAACCGACTTTGAGAGACCTGCGTTATCCGATATCCACTTGATCATGATCGACACGCGCAACTTTCCCAGGCAAACCTTTCTTCGGGACCTTGATGCCATGAATAATTTCGAAAGGCATTGCTCTCAGCTCGATGCCCGCAGAAAAGGTCGACTTGGACACTGGTATTTCGGGGAATATCTCACGCAGGGCAACCTGGATATTCATGGAAAGTGCAGTCAGGTGTCTATACAGCAACTCATCGATTGCAGACTTTTTGAGCTATGCCCCGATCTGAATAAACCATATAACAACTGGGGAAAGTGGCCAATGTCAGTGCGTAGCATCCGGGGCCAATTGGAGTTCTCAAAGGCCGTAAGTCAGAAGAAACTTCGAATTGCAATGGCCATGGCTCAAGTCGGAGTTACGGACCAGTTTGTTGTCCCATTTTCGCTCATGCTCTTAGCGCTACATGGGACACAACCAGATAAGCATATCGTTGTGGACTCCTTTCGTGCGATGTTTACCAGTAAGTCATTGGCAAGAATACTTCAACGCTATCCGCTGATATGGTCCTACAGAAATTGAACTAAGCTTGGGTGATGTCAAATACGACTTACGATCTGGCCAGATGGTAGAACTGGATCTTTTTGAAGAACTGATGGAGTCTGTCATGACACGCCCACCGGACAGCGCGTTGGCGGAGATTAAAGAGCGTATGGAGAGGCTTTTGAGCAACTGACATATCAACATGGGCAGCTTCACTCCTTGATATGCTACTAGTAACAGTGTTCTCCAGGGAGGCCAAGATCGCTCTAAGAAGACACTTAGCCACAACGCATTGTCAACCGGAAACAGGTTCATTCCCAAGGCTGACTGCCTTCTTGTTCGGGGGGTGGAATCAAACTCCGATGTATCTTGGACGACTTTTTACCTTTTTGACATTATTCTCTTTTTAAGTCAATGATTTGTTACTCTCAATCTTGTTTGCAAGTAGTCAAGAGCCTTCTCCCTGTAGACAGTTGAAATTTATTCCCTGGAAAATAAACTCCTGAGCTTGATCAAAATCTGGATTGTATGTTCTATGACTGTACAAAGCGGTCTACCAGGCTGAAAGGAACCATTTGCCCAATATCTCCCACGCGCATAGAGGGATATGAGCATATTGGTGTCGACCACGATAAAAACATCAAAACCCATACATACCCTACTACCCGACGTACTGATATCGGAATATGAACGTGGGTAGTCATGGCCTGCACGGCATCTTCGAACGCAATTCCCACGGCCTGTAGAACATAGAACCATTCACTGGCAAACGTCTCATCGGCAGCAAATGAATACAAATGACCTATGCAGTGATGCAACAGACCAGACGCTAAGAAAGTAAGAAAAAGGCGTGTATATCGCGAGAGCAGAGTACCACGACGGAGGCAAAGGAGTCTATCCGGAACAAAATCTCCCAAACCAGTGAATGTCTTGCGATAGAGCTGATGCCAAAACTTTCTTCAAAATATTTTAGCATATACCCATGCTGACTCGGTAGATAAATCACTTACCCCCAGAAACCACGAACAGTGTAACATGCGCTTATTGACCCATTGAGATGCGGCCAGTCTTCTGGCTGGCTTAAGCCAATTGAGAGAGATACGACAGCTGCGCAAGCATGATTAAGTCGATTGCAGACGTATGTTACCAGCCAGTACCCGAGTGTGCCGAATAATCGAAACGCTAGGTCCTCTGGTGATAGGTTCGATAACTTGAAAAGCGTCTGTTTTTCTCTCGTGATCAGATGATTCTCTGGAGGTGGTGCACTCAATGCCGCATCCATAATCAAATACATCACGAGAACCTCGGCTACTTTGGCACACAGGAGACGAGCTCGTGTTATTGTCTTTCGGCTCTTCATTGAGATCTCGCCTCGTACCCCAACGCGCCGCAGGTTGAAATACATGCATGTGCCCCGAAAAAGAAGCGTTGTAGTGCCGACATAGTCATGGCCATCCTTTTCTCTCTTTGTGAGTAAATCTGCGGTATGAATTTGCGAAATGAGGATCTGCTCCGTGCTGTTCATAAAGAAACCCCAGCTAAGGAGACAGATATTGGATTTCTGGGCGGGAGTAATAGACGTATCCGCGACCGCTGCGTAGAAGGCGCATTGGAGGCAGGCCAGCGCTATAATCGCTCCAACACGAAGGAGAGTACCATCTTTTGGCACAAACACGAGTGTCGCAGCAAAGGTAAGTAAAAGGACGCACCATACGCTAACTACGCCAACAAATGAGTATTCGTCAGCGTGGTCCATTTCAGTTGATACAGCCAATGCAAAATGACTTCGCGTGGGTTTCTTAGAAATGCTGCATGAGATTGATTGAAAGCCAAGGGAATTTGAGAAATAAAACTTGGGCGGAGCGGTGGCGTTTTAATCCGGAGGATTTTATTAGTCTGACTTTGATCTAGCCTACTTTGTCTAGTCCTAGAAACATGTCAGCATTAAGTTGACCTTTTGGCCAGGATATCTAAATACAACTTGTAAGAGCATATAGGCACGGTAGGTCTCCTCATAGTCCTTATAGTCAGCAATCAAGGTTTAACTAGTTCGAGATGTACAGGGTAATATAGTAGAGAATTATCACGCCTCTTACGCCTTTGATCAATGACCTTCTCTCAAGACGAAGTTTAGCTAAATATTTTATTGGCCCTGATTCATTTTATCAGACATAGAGTAATTTCCAGCTTCCTCTTCTATTTAGGTCCACTTTAACAGCAGCCTCCAGCCTGGCAAGCGGGCTCTGTTGGATTTTCTATTAGTGTCTGTTCATTGTCATTCGACAGCACAAGAAACTTACTGGCACCCTTTGAGCAAGCAGCACCTCCGATGAAGGGGCAGGACAAGTTGTATTGTTGTATGCATCGAGCACAGCCGTTGGGGCCCTCGATGTAGCAGCGCTTAACAAGATTGCCATTGGCAGCCTCCCGCGCTAGGATGCTACGAACATCCTCGGCCGGGGATGTAGGAGCCGCACCGGCAAAAGAAGCGAGAGCCGCGAAGGCTATAAAGATAGAGCTGGTGAAGTGCATGACGAGGGTTTGGTGAGTAGTTAAGAAGCTGGAGATGTTTGTGGGTAGTTCGGATGATCTTTCACAACTGCAGAGATATTCGAGCCTTTTTAAACTCGAAATCAGAACCCATTGTCAAGCAAGCTCATTCCTTCAAGACTATGCAAGTATCTATCGCTCGGTAGAAATACGTCCGAAGGAAGGTCAGATGACTCAGGAGATTATGTCTGGGGGCTGTAGACTTCGGACTGGCGTAGGGCATATTCTTCGATTTGTCTATCCTACACAATATGCAAAGCAAATACGGCGTAGGATACATATGATGGATTGGACACCTTGATACCAAGAGAGGTTTTGTGGATATAGGGCCAGGGATACCAGTGCTCAAATAGGCAGTTCCTCCAGTACAAATCATAAAAAAGCGTCAGCCGGCTTTCCGCACTTCTCATTGGCTTTGAGCCCGGCTTTGAGTTGCGGTGTTTGGCTGTGTAAGCGAGCCAAGCGCCAAGACTCTATTCTATCCGCGGACTTCCCTTTCAACGGCTATTCGGGATAACGATGCTCGAGGAAGCATTTGGGATTTACATGATGATGTACAGTTGAAATCGTCTAAACATTTAAGAAAACAGTCTCCAAGATGCAGAGGGAGGTTTTGGGCTGTTTTATTATTGTATGCACCTACTTATATCTCTCGGGGCATCAGTCTTGTATATCTATCAGATGTATATTTGTATATCGTCTTTCCTGTTTGTGATTAGCAGTTTGTTTTGCAATGGATTATTTATAGACGCAAGTTCAAACAATGTTGTATAATGTTGAAATCAATACAGAGGCTAACTACTCTTTCTTTCATCTAGTCATCGTCTTCATCCCCCGACTCATCGCCAGAGTCACTATCAACATCATTGTCACCTCCGACTGCTCCTCCTGTTCCAGCTCCCTCATCACCGCTATCCTCATCATCACTGCCTCCGTCCAGAAACGCATTGGGTACTGTCGCCACAGCGCTTCCAGAGTCGCCTACTGGAGCGAGTGCCTTAGCTGCAACGGCATCAAAGCCGGCTGTTTTGGCTTGCGCCAGACGCGCAGTGAAAGGCCCGAAGCCCCTCTCATGGAAGCCAAGGAACGCACCAGGGTTTGAGGGATCTCCCCTTGGAGGCCTCTCGGACAGCGCCCAGCCCATAACCGCGTTACCAACAGCAGCTTCGGGACCGAGGCCGAGTGTACTGTCGAGACAGTTCTCACAAAGGAACGTGTACAGCAATGATGTCTTGTTGACTGAGACTCCATCTGGTATCGGCCTTACTTTGAAGTTTCCTTTGACTTCCGCTGGGTTGTCCTCATCGATCGCTTGTCGAAATGAGGCCATGACCCCTCCTTTTCCGTCAGGCCATGCAGCGAGGATGAAGTTTCCTTCCATATCTCCCGTCAAACCAGCCGCTCCCCATCCTTCACCGTTGGCTAACGGAAATTGTAGTTGTCCGATGAAGGACCCGGCTGTTCCGTTTGCAGGTGCGGTGTCGGGCAAGGCGAGGGCAAATGTGAAGGAGGTTCGGACACCGAAGAAGCGCTCCATTGTGAGACCCGTTACTTGGTCGACGAAAGGTTCGGAGACTTGGTCTGTTGAGGATGTAGGCTCGTCATCGGCTAGAGCGAGTGCTGGAAGGAGGAGACTGGTGGCGAGGATTCGATGAGGATTGATGTGTCTTTGACGTGTTGTTTGTCGGTTGTGGACGTTTCGAAGAAGAGGCATTTTGGGGAAGTCTTCGTACTGGGTATCAAGAAATGAACTTTTGAATGATGCAGATAATGTTGCTGGATGAATACTGAGTATGAGATGATGAAAGTGCGCAAGACGACAGAAGACAGTTCAAGACTTACTTATAGTCTTCACTTCAGTGAAGCCAAGAAATACAAGAATAGTCTCAAACCTTTGAACCTCGAGAGGGGCCAAAAGCCAGGCCTCTCCCACCCACCTGATTTCTAATTCCAGCACGCGACTGTTTCGCGTCCCCATCTGTACTCAATAAAAACTCGCTTAAACACTCAAGAACCCATCTCGTCTGAAGCTCTTCTGTTTCCAGCGCACAGCTCCGTCTCATCGCCACTGAAACTGTTCTGTTTCTACTATTAATAGGAACCGTTTGAAGCTTAGAAACTTGGTTGCAATTGACTAAAGGTTATTGGCTCGAAAACTAAAGACGAAACGATGCGAAACGTTGATTTAGCCTGTTTGTGTTGACGTCGTCGCTTAAGTGAGGATGAAACGTTTTGAGCCAGAGGTTTGGGTTTCGACCGTCCCCGCAATGATCTTGGCAGAATGCCGACAACCGTTCTGTGAATAGCATTTTCGATTAGCCTTATACTCTCAGTAAAGTGTTAGGAAGTAGAACTAAGCTTGAGATGATGGGTGAATGGCTGGCTATATCCAGGCTTTCTAGATCTTGGGTCCATGGCATGCAGGGTGTCGCGTAGGCTACTTTCTGGCAGCAAATAACTCCACTGCGTTACATTGCTCTCAATATAATTCCATATCTCGCTTTTATCACCCTAGCGTAGATTCATGGGCAGAAACATGGACAGGCCAGTGACTTGAAGTCTCGAAATCTTGATGGGGAACCTGAGATGTCAAGCCTATGCTGTGTTGTCTCACCTTGCATATTCTCAAACACTTCTAGGAGATAAGTCCGGAGTCTTTCAATTATTTCGCTCACTAAATTACCCAAAAGACAGATCAAACCATAGTGACAAACAATAATGAATGTACCACGAACAAGGCAATAGTGACGTCCAGCTGATGTCCATCAATTCATGTACTTAACCCCGATCCAGATGTATGCCCACCACCGTCCTTATCTTGTGTCCTTTTCGTGTTACCGGAAGTGCAGCGTATTTCCGTTGGTTCTCTGTACATGAACTCACCCAATGATAGCGTCGACAAAAGGGGGGCCCGTAGAGAACGGCGGCAGGGGGCCTGAATCACTGGAACAGTCAGCAATATCTTTGAGGAGCATTCATGACCTTACCCATAAGTACTGACTCAAGAACTGTCCATACGTCCATCGTCCACGACCACTTCGTACTCCAGGGACCGAAGCCGCGCATCGCGGCAGAATCTTGCTGCAGCTTCATAAGCAAGCAAAAGCATCTCCAAGGCCTCGTCACTCCCTTCGATAAGAACGATCTGTTGAATGCCATCCGCTAAGTCATGTAAACTGACCTTCTGTTGATGGCTGGGTAGCCCGTAGCAGGTTTGCAAAGCCAGGCTCCTGAAATTCCCTTCCTCATCGATGGCGCCAACGAGTCGGAGCGACTGGCCGACTACCAAGAAGGGCCCGGGGAGGCCCATGTGATATAACGTAGGTTCTTGGTCGTCTGCAGGGGTAACCTGGGTCTGGTCGTCGACAGGGGCACTTTGGGTCTCTTCGTCGCTCATCGTGTCGATTTTGTGGTGCGCTTGTGAACGATGGTTGAGATGAGAGCAAGATGAAAAGGTCGGTGCGAAGAGGAAAAGATGCGAGACTCTTAGCTATTGCAAGAAATACTTGCTGGCCATATGGCCCAGCTTTTGGTAACTGACAGCAGTCTTGAGGTGAATTGATGCTGTCTGATTAACTAGTGCACAGATGATTGAATGACCGTCCGCCAGGGCACTGAGTGCGCTAAAGATCAAGGTAAACAACAAAGACAGTGCGCCATAGTCCCCACATTTCTACAGTGAAGGAACAGTGCCTGGAGCCGTCACCAACGGCTGACAGTGAAGTGTCCATGAGCTGTAGGCAGCGTGAAAGAAAGACGAAGACGTGAATTTCCTCGACAGATTAGCAACTGTGTCTATGGATGGGCGTGGCGCATCGAATTCACAATTTGTGCAGGAGAGATCTAACATTTAAGTTTGTCTCGTGTCTGCTGTGTAAGACGATTGGTGGAAAATGACAGGGTCCCGTCACCCAGTTCTGTTGGCCCACTGAGAATCTTCACTGCTGTCAAAGCAATAGAGGCCCTGTAAATTACCTGGTGTCACCGGAACTAGACACCTCACTCTACCTCAACCTTGCAAGACGCGCTGACATCACCCTCAGTCTCGAGTTCACATCGAAATCCTCTCAAGGCCAACTTGCACCCATCAACCAGGCACCGCGATCTGATTTTTGTTCTACTTCAGCCAAGCAAGGCCGAGGTCGGACTTCTCATTCTCTTTTGTTCCACAATCTGATTTTTCCTTGCCTGCAGCCTCATCCTTTGCACAACCATTATTCTTACTCAACGCTTATCATCGACATTTCAACGAGGTGCATCAAGTCAACCCACTCGAAAGTCCGAATCAACTTCAGCTTTTGGAAAGCAATATACATTGTCGTGTGCCTGGGTTAGCCACCAGCGTTTTAAAACGCCAGAGAGACTTTCTGCAACCATAGCGTTCAACAGCACTGAACTCGTAGAGTCAGACGCTTCTCGTCAGAAGACTGTATGAATATTAACAACTTCATTTACCATGTTGCGATAATTTGCTGATACATTCCTGTATAGCCTGAGAAGCCTGTCGCCGAGAGCGACGTCGACTCTACGAAGGTGATGACTCCTGTCGGTGGCGCTGTGATCTTTGAAGGTAAGTGTATATCGATATACTCCAAATGAAAATCTTAGCTGACATTTGGCAGAGGTCAAAATCCCTCACACAGCTGCAATCCTTCCTGAAAGAGAGAAGATTTGGCGGCGCCCTTCCCCCATTCTGTCTTTCAGTAGTAAGACTGCCACGTCCCAAGATGGAAAAGGCTTTTACTGATGAAATGTAGGCAGCGGCCCCTCTTCCAACGATGTGAGAATACGCCTCCATCGCGGTCAGCTTCACCGAAAGCCCATGCCGCCTTTCAGGATGGCGCACACACAGCACCATCTGCTAAGTGAGGCTCAGGATCTCCAGGCTACACAGCACCACCTGGGTGACAAGCAGTCGAAGTCATTTTGGTATATCCTGTCTTTGCGCAATGTGATCGTGGTTGCGGCAGTTGCCTCAATCGTGTTTCTCGTTGCAGCATTTGTCTTCGTTGCCTACATCGCTCCGCCTTTGTTCGAGCTTACCACTCTGGGCAAGCAGACTTCTAGTCATAGAGTCGCGATCCACGAGGCTGTCGCGCGAGGCACACATAGCCTGTGGAAGCCACTTGGACGGCCAGCCAGTCAGTTCACCAGTGCTTCTGAAGCGGCCCTCGCGTGTCTCGTGAATACCGCCTCTGCGCTAGTGGAGTTCACCCATGACATGGCATGCGTTTTGCTGTTTGGCCGTCTCAAGTACCAATTAAGGGAATATGATTGATCCGGGGTTATTTTGTCATGCAGAGAATCTGATTCTCGATTATGTGCGTCTTGCGTGTTTGTCGTTTGAGACGATTGGTGGAAGTTGTGGGCTAGACATGTTATTTGCAGTTGAGACATGTGGCCGAGAGCTGAAATTAGGAGAGAGAACTTGATGAAAATTGAAATGGCTGTCCCCAGTTCGCTTGTGAACTCAGTGAGACATGCGATTATTCGACGAGTTCAGAGTGTTTTGGAATGACCCAGAATCGAATGTCAGAACCCGGAATGCAACATCACAAAGACGAAACAGAAGTCGCTGAAAAGAGCTTCATTTGACCACATGTGGTGAAGTTTCCGAAGTAACTATTGAATATCTGTGGTATAACACTGCCCTAATCCCGAGGAATGTACCACATTGCAAGTATTTGATACCAGGTTAAGGTAGTGTCGAACTTTAGTTCCCCTCATCCTCATTCTCGTCCAAAGGAAACTTCCAGAGACACTCCTCGGGCATCTCCTCGGGGCCACAGCGAGCGGGCATTTCAATGAGCTTGGTCATCTCACGGTCCAGACCGCTCGTGTGGAGAGTGCACTGGGCGATGACTCGCAGACTGTTGCTGATGTCGATCAAAGTTGAGAGCGTCTTGGTGGCAACGGCACGCTTGTGCTCAGCTCGATGGTCCTTCATAGTGTCGGCATCAGATCTATTCGAGTGCGACGCGATAGCGCGACTGGCCATCTCGCGAAGCTGTTGGGTCGAGATCGTAGGCCTCCTTGGTGATAAGGCGATTGTCTCTGGCGTGCTTGATGAAGCGTTCAAGTAGACTGCCCATGCGCCGAGTGCCCTGAGATATCCTTAGCACTCAAAGGACAACAATAAACATGGGTCAAACTAACGCCGTCACAACCCCCATAGTCCTCGCCAAAATCAGCAGAATACTCTTCGCAGACATTGCAAAAAAAGTTCTCTCTGTCGACTGCTCCAAAATTAGCGCAAGCATGACAACGTGAGAGCATATGGATGTGCAACTTACAGCCCTCCTCGTCGATACAAATGTCTGGAAGCTGCTTGAGGCTTGTCTCAATGGGATACCAGTCCATGGCCTTTCTGAGACATGGCTCACAGCTGTAGAGACCAGGACGCCTGAAGTGGTCAGTGACAACACGGGGTTGGGGGCGAATACCAAGAATAGGGACTCACATGGTGTCGGCGGCGATGAAAGAAAGAGATGGAACAAATAGTCGATCTTTGGCAAGGTTAGCAGCTATCCGATGTTATATCGCGCGTTATCGTGCGGCCACGGGAGGAGGCTACTGGAGATACTGACATTGTTATTGTTGAGGCTTGAACTGGAGTTGGAGAAGAGGCAACACGAGAGATCACAAAGCGGGGCCTAAGGAACAGTTGCATGGTCTGTGCGGCACGCAGCGAGGGTGAAAAAAAGCAGAGCAGAATTGGCAATGCCCTCCAAAGGGGGGGGGGGGGGGGGGGGTCTTGTCTTATCTGAGCGGCACCTCACAACCTATACTCCTTCTCGTAATCAGCAACTCTTTTCTCCATTACTCTGTCACCAAAAACAAAGTCAAGCATTTATCAAATCCATGACAACAAATCCATGACAAACGACATCACTCAGAGGAACCTGGACATGTATGATGGATATGTCAAAATGGCTGGGTAACTGGTAGGTAATTCATAAAAAGTTGGTTTATTGAAGGTTAGTTATTGTACATTATGATCTGGAAGAGTTGGGGAGTCACAGTCATCGATATCACAGAAACACGGAAATTCATCGCCGAATGGAAGGACAGAAAAATATCGAGGAATGTGCCTTTGTAGATTATCTATGGTCAAACTAACTAAGAAGTGTTTTAATCCTCAAATAATCTCTTAGCCACTTTTGCCAGGACCTAACACTACGACAATGCAGGTACAAATCAGATGCAGCGTTCATTGCTGATTCCGATATGTAACAGCATTGAAAATCTCTCGCTCTCTCCTCACGGTTGATCGGACAATGAAGTCTAGCAATTGCTCTGTGCCATGAGGAACATCATACTCAATTCCACTGGAAGCTAGATATTTCTCCAGGATCAAATTGGTCGGAATTGTGAACTCGCCGGCTTCACTGCCTTCACCGTAGTGAAGCTCCATGGTGTCAAGTGCATCGCGGATGTTGTGAAGATCAACAGTGGTGACACTGTACACATCAAAGCCACGTTCCTTTGTGACATGTGGAGCAGTCGGTTTAGGGTGGTCATCAACGACCTTGGCGATCTGTAGCATCAGGAAGACCAGGTGCTTCGGATCTTGCAGGTAGTACGAGGACCTTTCGCACAATCTGCGGTCGTAGGGGATTTCAGCTTCAAGGCAAGCTTTGGGGCAGCGAGGAGGACTTTCTTTCGTGCAATCGTTTGTGAAAATCTCAGAGATGGGAGATGTCAGGGGTCCTGAGCACAACTCCATGGTAGAACAAAGACGCTTGAGCGCGTCGACTTCTGGAAGCGGGGGCATCTTCCAAGGCCGTCTGTCATCAGTACGACAGATGACAGCAAACTGGAGAATGAGAATGAGGCTATCAGTGCCATCAAACTCAAAAAAGGGATGCGACATAAGGCGAATGAGTCCGAAAGAGAAAGCGCGACTCCAGATCGGCTCTTCCGTTTCGGCACGAATACCATTGACGTGGGAGAAGAAACACAACGGATCCTTTCCACACTTTCGCATGCACATCTTGAACAGAAAAGCAAACCTTGCTTCTGTGTCCTAGGTGTACATGTTGGCATTCGGGGTCGAGATCAATAGGGCCACACGCGGATCCATGGCGGGCGTGAATGATGATGCAAGGTCAAACTTTACTGTGGAGCAGAAGGGGAGAAATGAATGAGACGACGAGTTGGACGTGTGGGGAGAGGGGAGAGGGGAGAGGGGGGGGGTCGATGATGAGTGCCATGGGCTCGTCCATTTCGGGCGGTGAGGATGAGGACCAGAGTTTGTCGGCAGAAGACGGCGAGGATGAAAGAAAGGAAATATGTGAAAGAAAAAAGAGCTGATGATGTAAATGAAGATGAGGGAGCCTCAATTTGTCCCTTTCCTCTTCTCTCTTCTCTGGTCCCAACCAGGATATTGAATAAGAATTAGACGCGGGAGCCCTGTCGCTGCGGATTGGCCCCTCCAAACTCAAAGCAAGGCTAGCTTCATTCATCTTTCGGGGAAACGCTCCAGTAATATCGGTACTTTTTTGCCTGCCAACTCGTGCCAACCATGCCGCACTACCCCCAGCATACACTTCATTTACCATTCCTACTGTCTTGTTTACCTTGCCAGCCTTGGCTATTTCCCCGTTTCAGTCGCCATCGAAAGATGCACCGTCACGAATTGAAATCGTAAGTGTCTTTCATTGTTGGAAAGTGCAAAGGCATGGGCAGTTGGTTTCAAACATTCATGTCGCACGAGCGATATTTTGTGGGGGAACTTCTATGGTAGCTAGTTGAACAGGATTTTAAAACTACCGTTCATTCGTTCCTCGAGATGCGGTACTTATCCTTCCCGGTCTCTCTCCTCCTTGTCCCTCTGAACTCTCTGCTTCCCTGATCATGTTCGTCTTGTAGTATATGAGGACCTAGCAAGGATCAAATGATATGACCACACTCTGCAGGAAGGAATTGAAGGCAGTTCTCATCAGCTTTAGATCTGGAACTCAACGGCTTACATGGAGAAAGATGTGACCACACTTCTGCTGGGGTAAAGAGGCAGAATCACATCGTGGAATTGGACGCAAGAGTTCAGAATAGTGACGACAACGTCCTCGCTCCTTTACATTGTATGTACTTTATGCCGAGACCCTGGGGTATCCCGAGACTGGCGGTTTTCCGCGAAAGATGAAGTACCAAATTCGACCCGTAGACTCAGCGATTCTCCGCTCCTTAAAGTGCCATGCTTCACAGTAAAAGTCGGCGAGTTTACCTAAATCAGGCCTACCTTCTGGCTTCTCGCTATATGGCCAAAGCTCAACTTAAGAACTTTACTCCTCATAATTTAGATGAACTATCAAATCTGATTGTGGCAGGATGTATGAAGAGAGAGTGGGGGATCTTTGACACTACTCTCTGTCACATTTATCAGTAATCTTATCTATCATCTTGCCTCAGACACGGCGGTCTTTACCTAGCGGTTTCTCATCCTCTGTCATGACTTGAATGGGACCCTACTAACGTGTCATTCGGTTCATGTACAGAGCGGTCGAAGCTTTCAATGGCCAAGAGACTGCGAGTTCGTCGAAAGACGTCTTGGTTTGATAGACAATATGATATCGTAGGAAGCACCGAAGCACTTGGATAGTGTAACCCGTGGCCGGGAATAGTGAGTGATAGTTGAAGTAATCGCAAACAGCAAATTTCTTTCACTTCATTTCCATTTCACAATAATCTTCTGTTCTTCCGGTCTTGGATCCATCAATTGTGATATCTGTACATGTGTTCCTTGCCTCTATTCCGAGTATGGACACAACTTAACCAATGTTCAACCAAATACCTCCTTGAAATCATCTTGAGTTACTTCCAAGTGCCATCCTCTCTTTTCACCATAGTACTACTATATCGTCTGTCCCTCGTCATCATTTGCTTCGTCGACTCCTCGCCGACAAGACCCTCCTCCGATTGGAATTGTCTGCCAAGACTCTAGTCGATCTGAGCTAGCTTTGTCTCCACCTTGATACCGTCCCAAATGGAGTCATCGATTCTCTGAAACTCAGAGTGCCAAGCTCGACGGTAAAAGTCAGCTAGCTGGTCGAAGTCAAGTTCATCATCGGACTCCTCTGTATTTTCCAGGAACAGTCCATAGCATTTGCCGGTAGTGGGAAGCGTATATATCCCATTTAGTTCTGGGTTATTGATGGCACAAGCTGTGACATGATACAGAGGGACATCTAAGTGATTTCTAGTTCCGTTCTTAGGTGAAGCAGGGCGTTCGATGGTGTGTTCGAGAGACGACATGAGGTCGGACAATACAGACGCTTCTCTGAAACCATTCGCCATTCGAGCGAAACTATGAAGATCCTTCACCGAGCGGGTAAGGAGTCCATCAACTGTCTTGGTTGTTTTGATGCGTTTTTGTAGATCTGCCAGGGGACCGCCAGGAGTTGGATGCTGCAGAGCCATGATCCACGGTCGTCTATCATCTGTTCTCAAGATGACTGCATACTGCAGGATCGTGGCGAGGTGATCTTTGTTGCCTCTCAAGATAGGGTGCGTCAAGATCTGGGTCAGCAGACGGATGGGAGTCTGAGACCAAAGAGACGTAGTACCATCAACCGATGTCTTGTTCACGGTTGGAATGTCGTAGCAGAGGCCGCAGCGAGGACTGAGCAGAGTGATTGGGGAACAGCGAAAGACATGAGCGCATGCGATTAACAGATTGAGGTGACCAGCATACATGTCCGAGTTTTCTTCGTTGATGTCGTTTGCCATAGTATCAACGAAGGTTTTCCAACCCGAGATGTCGTAAAAGGGATCACACATCGGCTCGTAGTTGATTGGGCTTGTGAAGAAGCATGAGCCATTATTGAGGGACTTATTTTTTGTATTCAATATCATGCCCCCTTCTTTAATCAGTACATCTATGGCTACATGAATTTGATCAATCGCATCCCTTCTGACAGAGTACGTCCATGACAAGTTTGATTCTTTCTCCGCTCCTCGATTCTTTCGCTGTTTCTATGAAATGACTGCGATACTCAAAGGCTATAAAAGAGAAAGACGAAATATGGTTGGCGCTTGATGAAGATATTTTTGTTGATCATGGTTGGTATGGTCGATCTATCCTGTCGAAGAGAATTCGGAGTATCTCTACTCGAACCTCCCCATTGTCATCTTTGGGCAGGTTGATGGGATAGAAATAATCGTTTTCCTTCCAAAAAGGGTGTTAGCCAATTCCAAACCCAGAAGACGCAGCTTACCAAAAGCCAATCCTGTTCCACAACAGTACATCGATCCATGTACTGGTAGTCAAAAGTCTCAATCCTGTGATACACAACCCACTGCCAATCTGTCCCAAGAGCGCTGCGGGGAAAAAGAAAGACGGGAGTGTTCTCCAGCGTGAGGTACTGACGTTGATGGCAAGTAACATCTTTGATCCCAGCGTGGTGAACGAACCCTTTGGCGATGGCGTTGCGGATCTTGACGTGGTAGTCTTTGTCATGCGGGGTTAAAAATGAGATTTCAGAGACGCCAAGCTTTTCTTTGCACCATTGGATCAACTTCTGTCGCAGCTCCAAGGCCTCTTCTAGTGACGTCGAGTTCAGGAATGTTTCGTGACACCAGATTGCCAACTCTTCTGTTGACATATTGCGCTTCCTGTGTAAGTAGGCGTACAGAGCGTTGAGCTCTGACAAATGATCCGACAAGGGGTCCATGAATTGTTCGTGTAACACGTCGGCTGCATGTAGTGACTCAGGTGGTATGATGCAGATGGGGTTCTTTACGCTCACGAGAGCAGCGATGTCGATGAGTTCAGATAGGCAGCCAAGCTCGATGGCCTCCTCGAATGCGTTGTGCCAGACGAGATCGATGGGAAGCGTGAAGGCGGCTGTGCCAGCTGGAGTGATGGTTCCGTTTTCATCGATAAGATTCCTGCGTACGATAATTAGAAGAGAAGTGGGAAAACAATGTGCGAATGCTTACATGGCTCTGAGGTCCCCGAGCCCACGGAGATAGACTTCCTCACGCCGAGGATCGAGGAAGTCGAAAGTACCGACAGATTTAATCCCTGCACTCTTTAAAGCAAAAATGGCCGTTGTGAAACAGTCTTTCAGCATGCTGGGAGGTGAGACATCGGGTAAGATATTATCATATGTCGCCATCGTGTACAGGCGGTAACAGATTCCTGGTTGAGTTCGTCCGGCGCATTTAGCTCTCTGGTCAGCGGATTCTTTGGAGATTGGCGCAGCTTGGATGGTGTGCATTCTCACGCGAGAGTTATAGACCGACTGCATCTCGACACCACTGTCTACAGCAAAGATTAGCTTCTAGACACCGATGAGAATATCTATTGACTTACCAACGACATAGACAATGTCATCGACAGTGATACTACTCTCGGCGATGTTGGTAGTAATAACACACCTGCGCTTCTCACCAGAGCGAAGGGCTTTGGCTTTTTCTGCCTGAGACAGTCTCCTATGCAATGGGAAAGTCTCCATATCTGGGTAAGCGCCACGCAGCTTCGCGACCGCACGATTAACTTGGGGGTTAGATGCCAAGAAGACAAGTATATCACCTGGGGCTTTGTTTTTATGGATGTGGCGCACTGAATCCAAAGCCATCTCGCAATAGTCAGGGTTAGCTTCGTTAATGTACTGGATCATAACCGAGAATACATCTTTTTCGATGTTGAGGACTTTGGGAACGCTGAAGTAACTGGCGAGCGTTTCGGATTCGGTTGCTGACATGATGACGACTTTGAGGTCGGAACGGAGAGCGAGGGTGTTCCTGAGTCGCGGAAGGAGAAGATCGGTGTTTTTTGTTCGCTCGTGGAAATCGATGATGACGCATGACTGGAAAGATGAGTTAGCTACTGGACAGATCGGAGGTGGCATACTGGACACTTACATAGCCGGCCAAGGTAGGATTGTCCCCGATTTGCTGGAGGAGCATGCCCTCTGTCACGAACTTCAATCGAGTCCGGTCGCTGGTCTTGTTGTATTTGCGGTACTGAACACCAACCTGTTCACCGAACGTAACGTCAAGCTCTGCTGAGACGCGCTGACCGAGTTCTTTGGCTGCACCCTGATCAGGCTGAGTGCAGACAACCTTCAGGCCTTTGTTGAGTTCGAGGTACATGATTCGCTTCGTGAGCTGTGTCGAGTCATCAGAGCCTGTATCAGAGGCAAAGACCACCACCTGCACTTTATCAGTAACGAATCGCAACCGAGGGCATTTGTAGGTGTAGTTACCTGGTTAGCTTTGTAAAGTTTGAGGAACCTGTGGAAATTCTCTGTCTGCATGATGGATAAACGGCGGTATTGCTCGCTCAGTGTCTGCAAGTAGCTATCAGATCGGTTCTCGCCGGGGCGAAGGGGATTCTTTTCCGCAACTTCATATTCGAGGACAGACTGGAGCATAAGCTGCTCCTCGGTCGGGGGTGCCATGCTTGAGATTGAAGCGCTTCTTGGAGCTGAATGTGATGGATAGTAAGGTAATTGTGTTGGTAATTGTGTTGATGTTCGAGAGAGATTTGCCTCTTGCGCTCGAGTGAGCTGTGCTCCTGCTCCTACACCGACTCACTCACTGTGTGGAAGTGGAAGGAGTTGAGGTGACACAAGGAAATGGAAATGCCAGCCCAGACCTCGCCTACCTTACCGTATCGAACCCGCCGTGAATCTTCCAACAGACCCAGTGCAACCTTGGACTTGCCAATAACCTCACCAAATCTGAAGGTACCTAAACACGCCTTTCTACGCTACCTTACCTTTCCGTAAGGTAGGTACCTTACGGAAATGTTACTGATGAGCAACGCTAGACCCTGTCCATTCAGAAACGAACTCTTGATTGTCCAACTTCACTGCGTCCCTCAGGCGCTCGGCATCTCTCGCCGTCGACCATTCGTCATCTTTCAATTATATAGCCTTCGCTCCAACATCGACAAGCATGGACAAGCGCAGACGAGATTCAAACAGCCCTTCGTCTAAAAGTGGACGCCAGAAGGGCGCCAGGGAAACCTCACCAGCCGTCGCGGCCCCAGTCGAAAAGGGACGACAGCACGTTCGTCCGATTCGGACAGAAACTTCAAGCGATGTCTTTCAAGCTCTCAAATCAAGCTGCAAGTGGCTTCACTTCCTAGGTCCCGATATCCCACCAGGCAACGAGCATGATCTCCTTCGTCTGTCTCAGCTTTCTGAGCTCATCGTGATCCTCTCCCTCATGAAATCCAAACCCTCATCATCATCCTCACTCAGCAAGCAAGGGCAGCAGAGTACTCCGCTTCCTTTAGGACGCAACAAACTCCATTACTCCCGGTGCAGTGTCGGATTGTCACCTTGCTTCGGCATCGGGACAAACAACCAAGAGACACTCGTGGCAACTAGAAGCGCGCAAAGAACAGGCTGGAGAACTGACACTCCAGCGCTGGCGGCGACAAGACCAGTGATGATTGGGAATAAACAGCCTCCGAGCTGCGCGAAGACAAAGACAAATGCCAAAGCTGTTGATTGAATACGAGGATTGAACAGTTTTGAGCCGACAGAGATACCCTGGTCTCATTAGCTGAGTACTTTGAGGGTCGGGAGCTAACTCACTGTGGCAAAGTATGGTCCCATGAAGAAGCCGAGCAGACTGATGGCGATGGAGGCGGCGATGATGTTGGGAACCCTGCAAGTATCAGATCGTTCTTCAATGCCAAGACGCAACACTTACAACCAGAACAGAACTTGCAATCCGATGCTGAGGATCGTGAAAGCAAATATCATGGGGCGGACCCCAAACCGATGCGTAGGTTCCGCAAGGAACAGTCTCCCAAGCAGCGATCCTCCACTGAAACCAGCCGGTACGAAACCCATCTGATTGATGTCGCCATTGCGAACCTCGACCAAGTATTCGACAACCCACCCACTAGCTGTGAGAGTCGCGCCGAGGAAGAAGAAGAAGAAAAGACTGATGAGCCAGACGTTCTTGTTCTTCAGAGTCTCCTTCACCAATGAGATAGCATCGTCGTTTCTTGATGCAGGCAACTCATCAGCCTCGAGGGTTCGTTCAGTCGGCGGCTGCTTTCTCTTCAATCTCAGAGTATCCCAAAACGCGTATACCACGAAAGCGAAATTCAGAACACCAATACCGAGTGGGAACGTGTAGAACAAGTACCATCTCGACGTACTTCCAGCCGAAGCAACACCCGTCGCGACGAAAGGGCCGACAAGGCATCCGGCCATGTACATCGCGTGAATGAATGCCAGCCACCGATGAGACCCCTTCACTCCAGAGACATATGTGTTCCCGTGCGTATCTTGGTATGCTTGACCCAGGCTCGCGAGCCAGAACGTAATGGTGAAGAGCGGAAATGGTGGCTTCCATGATCGCAGCGCGTGCGCGATGACTTGCAGTACGGCGCCCAGGGTGAGCATTGATCCGAGATCGAGTACTTGACAGAGATGAGTGTTGGAGAAGGCGCCGAAGAACCAACCCATAAAGTTCGCGCCGTAACTGTCATGGTCAGTAAGAGTTGAGCTGGGTTGGGGAGATGGCTACTCACACTGATGAGACAATCGCCGTTGTGACATCGTAGTCTCGGATGATGTGAGGTACTAAAGCACCGATACTTCCATCATTCACGCCAGCGACAAAGAAACTGAAGCCAGCGCTAAGAATCTTGAGTAGTTCGGCGGTACTTGGTTTCGATGAATGCGGAGGTTCAGTATCATCGAGTACATCCCGCGTCGGGATGGGTGAGCTCCGAAGCTCAAAAGTCTCTGCCCTCGTATCGGTCTGCGTAACTGTCGCCATTGTTGAAACTGTGACGAGTGAAGGTTGAAGATGGGGAGTGATTGATGTTTATATTCGAGCTGTCGGGGGAAGTTGGCACAGCCCAATTGGCGCTTCTACCACTTTTGGATTGACACGCCAAGTGGTTTTGGAGATCTAAGCTTAAGCTGGTTAAGCGTGCTTGCAGTATCTCCTGATTTGGTAGTAAGCATGTGAGAGATCACCCGCGAGGACGGGCCGGAATGGCTAAACGTCGGTCAAGGTACGGTCAGGTCATCGGGTAACACGAAGTGAGATGGCGAATAATTTACCCTCATGACACACAAGAAGATGCAATAAAATAAGAATGGTTGATTGGCTTATGTTGCAAAGGTCATTATGCTTAGGTTTCCCCATATTGCTCTATTGATGGTTGGGATTATCACGTTAGTCTCATGTTTTCTACAGTGAAGCAGTCATCGCAAACTTTAGCTCACAATCTGCGCTGAAGAGTGAAGCGACAGTCTCATCACACTCATCCCGCCTACCTTGTTATGAGATAGAAAGTGAGACAATCGAGTAGAAAGTTTCATATCAAATGATTGCACTCATTTTTAACTAACTCGGGTCTTGCTCACGCTGGTCCCATGAGCCAGTTTGCAATTGAACCCGGCAATCTCATAAAACCGTCACTCACCCTACACCAAAGCTTGTCTTGACTAGTGGTGTCCCAGATCTACCCTAGTCAAACGCTAGAGTCCCCTGTCTCCTGCTGATCCATCGAGAAAAAATATTTAAAGTTCTGTCAGTATTGAAGAATTTTTAATCAGATTTCATGTTCACTGCAAATATCATATCATAGAGGCTGACAAATCTGCTTTCGAGAGTTACAGGGTAAGTCAGGGGCAAAACCAATCATGATTTTTATGGAAATGACGTAGCGAAAGCCCAAGTCACGTCTTTCTCTCCGCGTCTGAGCGATTTGGCAGAATTGACAACAACAATTGCTGCTGATGCGGAGACCATTCCACGATAAGGCGACGAAAATTGAGCAGGGCGACATTGTGATTGGTGGCTGGGGCATCGGAATTTAGTCTTTTCCGCCCTCCCCCCCCTGTAAGGGTCCCCACTGAATGCCACGTCAAAGGCTACTTGTCGGTGAGTGAGTGAGTCTGCTTGCAACCCGACTCCAGATCTCTAAATCTGGGGAGTCCCTTTCACCTTGACGAAAATAACAAAACACACCACTCGTTTCCGATGCAATTACTGCGTGGCGATCGTGGAGACACCAGCAGCACTTCTTCCAGGAGCTATGGAGGCTTCGGAGCCTCAGAGCCCCGGCTCTTCGAGTTCAGCGAGCGGGGTCGCTCCGTAGCGCCCAAATGCATCGAGATGAGCAAGCAGCACCCGGAGGAGTTCCTCAACTATCTCCAGCAGGCCTGGAAGAGGGACAAGATCTACGCCAAGGAGAACCCAGACTCCATGTTCGATATCAAGGCCATCCGCGTGCTCTGCCAGGATGGAAAGTTCAGACCCCTGGGGAACTCATATATCCCGCTGCCCAAGCTGCACTACCTCCGGAATCGATATATGCTGGAAGGAGAGCCCTTTCCGTTTCTCAGACTTGATCCGCCAATACGATCTGAGGGGGGATTCGGTCAGTGGAGGTGTCTCAGGGCGTTTGCCAAGTATCATGATGACCTAGATTTCTTTCTCGAGATGTTGGTACGGATACGACGAACAAAGGCTTCGACAGTTGAATTTCCCCGTCGCATTCTGGAACTCTACCTTCGGATACAAGCAGAGTGTGAAGACTCCAAAGATCCCGCAGCGAGTCAACAAAAAGTCAGGTATGTACACTCATCAAATTCATGATGGCATACTCACGCGACCAGGAACACGTTTGAGAAGGAGCAGCTAGTCTATGTCCACCCAATATGGAGACCGCTCAGCGAATGCTTGTTGGAAGATACATGCGAGATATCCAGCACACTCTCAAAGTCACCAGTCTTTCCTGTGCCGTCAGATTGGGATGCCAGCAAGTCGGAGCTCGTGTCATTACGAGAGTTTTACACACAGACGCTACGGCTTCAGAATGCGAGCTATCGGACGATCGTCGATGTCTTGGAGAAGCGCGACTTTGATGCGGAGCTCGACCCTGCGGACCTTTGGTTGACAGATGAGTTGTATCGGGCCCTGGATAAGATGAGACTGGATCTCTCACCGGACGACGCCGCTGATCTCAAGTGAGTAAATTCGACTCATGAAATCCCACCGCTAACATGAACAGACTTGCGTTCGCTGAAAAGGCCATCATCGCCATCGCACCGGGTGAAGCCGTGACATGGCTCAACGCCGGCGACTGCACATGGTCACCGAAACTCGAGAGCCCCGAAATCAACGACTTGAGCAAACACTACCCCGAGCTCCACGACTTCTTCGTCAACTTCCTCGACGTGAAACAAAACGACTCCGGTCTGATCTTCGACACCCTCATGAACGTCTCATCGTTGAGCCCCGATTGTTCGCGCGACAACACAGCTAGAGGTCTTCTCGTCGCCGTGAGTCAACGGATACCAGAGTTTGGCCACATCTTCGACAAAGAGCGGTTCGCAAGGAGTAACGTCTTTCCTGTATCGACGGCGGATGGCGTGTTGTTGTGTGCTTCGACGATGGAGTTTTCAGTTGCAGATCGACAGAACTTGAAGGAGGCCTTTACAGGAAAACTGAATCTGTTGGATTTTGATCCCAAGACTGTTTGGATGCTTGACAACTTGCTCGTCTGGGCTGGTCTTGATTCACGGTATCTCTCAAAACACGTTGAAGACCAAGGCCCAGCCGATGAGAACTTCAAGTCAATCGAACTCCCCTACGAGCTCTCCTCCAAAGCCGACCAACTCCTCCGGTACGTCGCCCCCTCCCAAACTCCCTTTTCGGCACTGACCTCCCCAGCATCGCCGTGCACTTCAAAAGCCCCCGAACATCCACGCCAAAAGCAACATCGTGGCTCCGCGAAACCCTCGAACACTCCGAAGTCCGCCTCGCGTCGGGCTTCCAATCACAACTGATCTACCGCTCCGGCAGCGCCTTCATCACCGCCGTCAACCCCATGGGCGGCCTCGACATCAAAGACACAGTCGGCTTCACCGTGTATGCCGACGACGAGAATTGGGAAATCCTGAAACAGACAGTGCTCCCGCGTCGGCTGCTCGAGTGGATCATGACGGACCCCGAGACGAATGTCACTGGCTCCGTGCCCGAACAGGCAGTCAGCCTTGTAAGAAGTATTTTGAACATACCTGTTGGTCGCGAACATGTTATTCCCAAGATTTTGGATGCGGAGGGCATTGTGGATTTGGAACTGTTAGAAGCCTCGCCGTACTGGCGTGTAAACAGGTAAGTTGCCCACTCCGAGTGTTCAGTGACAGCAGGCTGACGGGTCAGTGAACGTGTACCAGACACAACCATCACCACAAAATCCGACAAACTACGACCCGCCAAGATCCTCGACGACGAAGACGACGAACCCTCACCGGCCTACACACAGGGAGAATCCTACCACGCAAGAGAAGGCCTAGCCGACAGCAAGAGCAGCCCTCCGCCAGGAATGCCGACCTACGCTGAACCAGGCCTGACGACAAAGATCAACTCTGCCGAGCGAGGGATGACGACCAAGGCAGGCGATTTAACGAAGGACACGAAACAAGACGCACTGCGCGATAGACTCCCGATATCAAAACGTGGTTTGGAAAGACGACATTCGGAGAAGTCTGCTTGGGAAGAGGAGTTTGTGGCGAATGAAGCTACGCTGATTGATTTCTCGGGGGAAGATGTATATGGTATAGATTGATAGATTTTTATGTGATTATGAGACAAGACAAGACAAGACAAGATAAGACAATTGACAATATTGGGAATTGGGAACTGGGCACTGGGTGTTTTAATTGATGTGAGTGATTGCATGGTGTTGAGTTCGCAGAGGTGAGGGCTGATCCTCATGATGCGTGCCTGAATGGATGCATCATGCGTGTTGTTTGTTCAACTATGGCGTGTTAAGCTGTGAGGCGGAACGATGAAAAGGGACTGAGTCAGGCTGAGAGGCAGGAAATGCGGATCTGTCTAGGCTCTTTCCTTCATCATGATCCATCATTCAGACTACAACTTTCATTAATACAACGTAAACAACTCTTTCGCTTTACTGGATATTCTTTCCATTACTATGGCTATCTTTGGAACTGTCGGATCAGCAGTACTCTGGCCATTCACGCTTCGCTCCATAATTCAACCACTAGTTCAAACCATGTCCTACCAGGAACATCCACAGGGGAGGAGAGAAAACTCAGGACCTTGACCCTAAGCGACACAAATGCTTCGGTAAATCTAGTCTAAGCTCAGGGGACACTCTGCTGAGTTTATTATGTTACGGTCTGGTGTTTTCTTGTCCCCCCAGGCTAGGTTGATTTGGATGAGTGAAGAGCAAGGTGAGAGTGGCGTTCGAGTGTGCAGGTTGCGCTAGATTCGTGGCTGACTGCCCTCTGATCGACTCGATTCTTTGCTGCCCCACTTTCTCATCTGCATCCTCACTCCCACATCATCTCCTCTCATTTTCTTCTTCTCCATCAAATCGCACAACAACCGACGCCAGAAAGAGGTGAGTCATTTGAATCCAACCATATCGACCAAGGGCACGTGCTCATTGGCTCAACTTCACAGCAACTCACTCAATCATGGGGGGCAGTTCTCTCAGCAGTTGCCCTGGCTATGCCAAACAGTTCCAAAACGAGATGCTGCGCCAAATGGAAAACCCGGAGTGCCAGAACCCAACTATGCAAAGAATCATCTCTATAATCAGCAGCAACTTTGCCGAAGTCACTAAGGATATGAGCGTCCTGCTTGCCAACAACCTCGCTGTTTTCGTTTCGGGTGAACTTAGAGGAATGAGCTCAAGCGTCGCGGCGCACATCACCCTTTGTTCTGCCTACAAGTATCTGCAATTGAGTCGCCTGCCTCCTCGTGTCAATCGCATCAACTATCCGGCCTGGTTCTTCCTCGCCTCCGTCTACGGACCTGACCACGAGGAGCTCCGCCCCTACCGAGACTAGTTGTCTTCGTACCGGGACGTCGAGTTCCCCGCTGAAAAGATCATCTACCCTTCCAACAAGAGCGAGGAAGAGCAGGAACTCCTTTTTATCGCGTCTTCCCTCGCCGATCGTGTCGAGCCCGAAGATGAGGACCAAGACGAGCCTGAAGACGAGGAGAGTGACACTGACGACCACGTAAGTATTTCCTGCGAGTACGAACCAGAAGCTTATTAAATACAGGTCACAACCGAGATCACTCCAATCTCCGAACGCGAAAAAATGGAGAAGAGAGTCGCCAACGTGGAGGCCCATTTCCTCTTCATCCGCAGGCAGCAGAAGCTGCAGTCCGAACTGATCGAAGAGGGCATCAAGGCAGTCCGCGAGATGGCCAAGTCTCTCAAGGCGGAGAATGGGCAGGCTGAGTTGAGCCGGGAAGAAGTGGAAGCCGAAATCGCTTCTTATGAACTGGTGCATCGCGGCGTCAACTGCGATGATGGTGCTGTTGAAGATGAAGTGGACTAAATCAACACGCACGTCATGGAGGTTAGCGCCATTCGGTAGGAAGGACAACGATACAAAGGTAGGAGATGAGGGATGGGCTAGACTCGGATGCCTTTCGGCAACATGGCCACGGTACCAAGCAGTTTCTTAGTCTAGCGATCAATTCATCTCAAGTTAGGAGCACAGCTGAGTCATTGCTCCCCACGTGTCGCAACAAAACTTATCATAAGACGTCCTAAGCTCATCATAAGATATCCTTAACTCAACAGGATACCATAAATTCATCATAGGGGGCTTGGAGTTTCGGAGGATATTGGTTGCTTTCGGTATTCGATGTGATCACCTTGATCATTTCTTTCACTATTCTTATAGAGGATCAATGTCCTTCCTAGTCACGTAATAATGACCAGCTCCTTTCGCCGCCCAGTTTTCTTTGTTCTTTGTCATTCCGTAACTGTCTACTTAGTCCTAGGCTTATCCCCTCCAGCTTCAGCATCCTCGATTCTACCATCAAAAGCAGCTCGCTCCTCGCCAGCTGGCTTTGCTGTGACTGTGCTCTTCCCCCTCTCGTCAGTTCACGGGATCAGTGACACTGATGCCGCGGGGCAAAATGCTGGGGCCCTCACGGCGAGGAATGGGTGGGTAGTTGTCGGTATCGATGTGGATCCTGCCCCGGTGAGCTTCACCTTGCATTCCTGAACTTTGAGATCTCCTCCTTTTCGGCCTCCGCTCAACACCACCCTCCTCAGCTTTGCACGTACAACAGCCAGCCGCAACACTCTTCATCAACCTATTTTCGGTCTCAACTTATTCTATACTAATTTATGAGTAGCCTGAGAGCTTTCGCTTGTTCATGTGCTCACTTTTTGTTGCTCTGCGGAACCACCCATTTACTCGCCTCTGTGTTCAGGTCCACCAACAACTAAGGTGCCCCAGAATGTGAGCTCAACCTTTTCTGTCACCACTATCAAGGATATGATCATTAAACGCTGATGAACATAGGATACACTGCAACCACTGCCTGGAGTACACCCTCCGTTGGGTTCCTTCAGATGTCGCTCAAAGCGCTGTCGTCCCTGCTTGCTATGGATGCTCCTCGTCACTGTGCGCGCTGAGAATGCATGGTAAGGGGGATCGCATACTACGGGATCACCAACTGACCATCTCTTCGTAGGTGCTACCAAGAATCGCGTCAATTGCGGCAACGGTGGATGCAAAAAGGTGAGTTACACTGCTTATGTCTCAAGTTCAAGCTGATTTTGGATAGCTGTCCAACGAAGACGTTGAACTCCTTACGAAGCTCGAGCCTCGTCAGCGCTGTAACTGGCGAAGCAACCGTGCCTATAAAAATGACTCGGTATGTAGTTACTTATATGGCCCTGGCTTCTAGCTGACCGCACGCAGATCGTTCATGAACTCCGCTGCGAAATTACTTCTGCCATCGCCAGGCTCACAGCGGCTTCTGAGGACCAGCGCGTTGAGACTTCCCCGACTCCAACCGTCACTACAACTTCCCCAGACGGCCAGACAGAGACCAACGACCTGGCTATCGAGAACCTACGGGTTCAGATAGACATAAGCAACTCACTCCGCGGGATCTGGGAGACTCTACACAATCGTGGTGTCAACTTCGGCCACCTCGGCGATCAATGGGAGCAGGAGCTTGGCCATGCAACAATACCTCCTCGTGTTGGTCCTGACACTCTACATCCACGATTCTATGGTACCATTCCTGCAACTTCAGCAGATGCGGGAACTAGCAATGACCCCAAGACTGGCAGCAAGCGAGCTGCTCCCAATGGCGATGGAAAGACCGTAGATGGAGGGAAGAGGCCCAGGACCGAGTAGTCGTTCAGCGAGGTGTCTTCCGTGCTCGGAGTCCAGATGCCGAATTACCTGTTCTCTGTTCTCTACCTATACTCTCTCGGATCCTATGAAGCTATGGACGGGAGGATTAATGGGCAGGCTTAATGCAGCACCGACAACCTGGGGGTCAGCCTCATCTAGTTGTCGCAGCGATTTGAATTGAAAAGGATCTGTCTTACGCCCACTAGAGAGCCATTGACTTTATTGAAGCAGGAGCATGAGCAAGTGATAGATGAACATCAGGCGAACAGTGCAACACCAGCAAACGCCAGTTCAGGATGATTATTGATGGACTTCGCAGTTCGCTTTACCAGTGGCAGACTTGAATGGAGTCAGCACTACCTACCAGTGGTAACACAATGAATCGTTTTTCAGACACTAGACCTCGATTTATTCATTTCTCTGAAGTCTATCATGTTAAACTTTACTTCTGTTCTCACAACAGTTCTCATCTTCTCAGATCAAAGTATCGACCTTTTACTGACAACAAGACACTCACTACACATCACGACTTAACCGCTATCATGTCTGACAACAACACTGTCACCCCAAACGATGAAGTGGCCTCCGACACATCCTCTATGATCGTTGAGACCGGCAAGTCCGACATCAACGAGTCTTCATCTACTCCCTCCACCAACTCAGGCGAGTCAAGCACTACCTCCCAACCTGTTGCAACCGTCCCTCCCACTCCCCGAGTCATCAAGGTAGAGTGCGTCGGAGAACTTCGCCTCATCGGTATTCTGGACCCCCTCGACAGAGCACTCGGCTACTACTTCGACAACCCCCACGAAGACTACCTCGTCCGAAACGTAATGGCCCACTCCAACCTCGCACTCCAAGCCATTGTCTTCCAAGGTGAACGAGCTGCAGGTAACTGCATTGCCCGGAAGCTGCCTTCGTTCTACCCCGGCCGGGCTATTAGAGAATTCCACTTCAACCTCCCCTTCCGCGTTGCAAACACCACCGCCCTCAGACAGCTGAAACTTCCTCTTGGTTTCCGACGGTGCTTCTTGGGACTGAAGCCAAAGGGTACGGTTGTGCACAAGTTGGCTAGGGATGCGGAGTGTCCCCCGAAGTTGGTTAAGCGATATAATAGGATCTTTGAGGCTTGGAAGAACAAGAACGGTGCGCTTCCTGAGAATAAGTGTGATGTTGCGCTGATGGTGTGGCCGCGTATGCCGTATTGTGAGGGTGGGATGTCGTTGGAGTTTGTGCAGGAGCTTGAGGCTGATTCTCTTGGAGGCACTGACGTGGTTCAGTACTGACTGGCTTTTGGAAACCCTGAATTGGTTGAGATTTGGATATTCTTGTTGATGCTACCAGCATAGCTGTTTGATCTCACCAGTAGTAGATGTGTGAGAGAGTGGATGAATTGGGTATTGGCACTTTTGTAAAGTTGGATACTTGATACCACCTGTAGCTGAATAGGTCAAGTCTGGAAATCTGGATGAGCCAGTGGACATGGACTGTTGACCCCTAGATTGCTCAATTTAAGACCCCCCCTCCCTTGACTGCCCCCTGATATTGTGTGAATGGTCTTCCAGCTCAACATGAGTTGGTCGTCTCTAGAGGCACTTATGATGAGAGTCAGATCATTTCACCGTCGACACATGGACTTGCAGCCGGGACATCTTCCCACGCCAGGGTTACTACTTTGTGACTAAATGCTTTGATATTGATAAGTTCTACGGACAGCATCAATGTAGCTTGAGAACAGCTGAAGAGGAGCAAAGATTTAGTTAATCACCAAAGTGCCTCACGTTCAGGACAAAATCTGAGGTTTAATAATCAAGGATAAGCCACAAAGCGATCAGTTTAGTATCTGAAAACTGCAGTCACAGCGTTCGATAAGCGCAATACAACTCAAGCTACCACCGTGATGCTGTGGACCTGGAACGCAGATCACTCCATTCCGCGTTCCAGAATCCAGCAGGCACCTGTACCTTCACCACCATCAACGACCTCCTCAAACATTAGCGCCTTGGTATTGTCTTCCCCAAGGATATCATCATCCCAGGGGAACAAAATGTTCACCTTTTCCTTCTCATCCGCACACGTAGCAATCTGGATACCCTCTCCATGCCGAACATTAATGTCACTCTTCTCAACAAAGCTCAGCTTCAGTTCAACTCTGCGATACCCATCAGGCAACTTGCCTTCCATGCGACCCTTGTTGGTAATGCGGAGAGGCATACTGCCAATCTTGGTGTGGCTGCGGCGTAAAAGCCCTGAGCCTTCGATGGCAGGTCGTTCGCCGGCGTCATCGCCCTGGTAGATGATGGCGTTCTCGGCGAGGTTGGAGGGGGCGACCATGTTGCCCGTCTCGCCCGAGGGGCTCTCGAAACGGAGGCCGCCGAGCACTCCGCCGACGGTGATGCCGATGGCCTTGAGCTCGGGGACTTTCTTGAGGGTGCTGGCGTCGCCGGGAAGCATGAGGCCGTTCTGGTTGAAGAAGATGGGGCGGCTCATTTGGCAGAGCATGTTTTCGATGGTGAAGGTGCCGGGGGTGACGTTGATGTAGTCTCTGTTGCTCATGGTTGCGGGTGAATGTATCTGCACTGAGAATGAGAAAGATTGAGGTAGCGGGATTGAAGAATAAGGATTGACTTGCGATCAGCTGTGATATAGAAAGTAGGAGGTAGTACGGAGGAGATGAAGATGGAGTGTTGGATAACGGGCATCAAAAGGGATATTATACTCACGGCTCATTGTACCTACACGGTACGGACTCAAGTAGACCTGAGAGCCTGATTCCCCAAGAACGAAAAGACTTGGGCAAAACTCTCCGAATTTTAGGGCACTCTTCGATGGCATTTTTTTCGTCCCCTCTGTCTAGACCCGAAATTTCTGCTGCTTCTTGACCGCACGCAAGACAAGGTGGGACTGTGGTGGCGTGTGAAACATGATGGCGGACGTTGCGTTACCTGAAAAACAGGTTTGCACTACAGAAAAAGGCAGCACAGTGGGGGAAATGACTGTGAGATGCAAACGTGGTCAGTAAAGTTAAGTGCTAGCGAGATTTAACTCTAACGGGCTGTACGTCCGACGTTTGGGTCAGACATTACCGAAAGGCAACCGTTGCACCGTCCTCCCGGCATGCCTGAGCTCAGCCTAAGGTGGCTGCTCTGTGGCGATTCTGTGAATTCATTTGCTTTTGCTTGTACAAAGTCTCTATTGAGTTATCCATAGATTGCCGAAAAACACTGAGTTGCAAGAATCGACGACGTCACTGAGATGATGAAATATAAGGGGGTGGGGAGTTTGAAGCCTCCCACTGTGAGCGAACAACCGGAGGGTGAACAATTTGGCTGGTAGTCACAGTGTTTGCTTGGACGTAGTACCTAAAAACTCGGTTTGTAGGATAAACCAGCGGAGCAAAGTCCAAACAGATCGCAGACCTAGGCCATCTTCCAAATTTCCTCCTGCAGCAACCCGCTCTGTGTAACCACACCACGGCCTTGGAGTACACACCACTTCAATGGAAAAAAGAGATCTCATGCTCAAAGAAGCCGAAGACATCAATCAAAACATTTCGCGCTGCGATGGCGCAGAAAAACTACCTCGAGTGCTCACCGCGCAGACGCCCCTTCGAAGCAAGCACCGGCCAGCGCTACGCCGGTCAAGTTCCTACCCCCGAGGACCTCGAGCAGCCTGGTGTTCGCCGGCGTCACATCACAGATTACATCGCCTTCATACGACCTGAGATCAGCCACATCATCACCGAGTATGGCAGAGCAGCTATCAAGAGAGTGTGTCAGGAGCTTTACGCGACTGGTGTGCGAGCGACGCCGTCGCCTTGGTTTGGGCTGATGTGCGAGCGCATCATGTGGAAGATGTGCTGTGAGTTCTATCATCCTTTGTTTTGCTCGGGAACCGCGCTGAGTGTTTGAATGTAGTTGATCCGCTTGGCGATGATGCCCCGGAGTGGCCTTGGGCGCACGTCAAGTATCCTTCTGTGCTTGCGCCAGGCGAAGAACCGAACGGCATTTATGGGCGATATTGCCAGGAACGAATGGTGCAAGATGAGGGGATCGCACGAATGAATGCACAGCTCAAAGCGCAAGCCGACGCAGCCGCTGCAGCCCGCGCGGCTGACCCCAACAGCAAATTCATCGTCACTTCACCAGCTCCCCTTCAAAACATCGGCGAACCGCTTATCGTTGACACCGACTTTGACATACGAAACGCTCTCTGGAATCTCACCATCAGCAAGCCTTTCAACGAATGCAGCGCGGCCGGTCCTTTCGAAGTTGAACCCAAGGTTCCGCTGGAGTGGTACGTATCCAAAGACCTGGCGGCTATCAACGAGCTTCTTCCGCCTTGCATTGCTGTCAAGATGAACGCTACGAAGAAGAGGGTCTTTGTGACTATTGTTGAGTCTGCGCAAGTCAACCCCGCAGTCCCTGTACGAGATATTCTGCTTGATGTTTGGGAGGTTGTGCAATCATGGGCGGTGATGGTTAATGGATGGGGAGAGGGTCAGATGAATAGTCTGCTTCAGTACTTTTTAGGAGTCAAGCAGTGTGGTGGACTTGTGTGGAACAAGCAAGCTCCCTTGCCAGTCCAGCATTAAAGAGAGACACTGTGACTAGATGCACATTTCACTAAGCCTATACTGTAGTATCAAGAATGAGAGCGCTCACTGCATATGATCCTGCATCCTCAAGTGCTCATCTGAACTAACTGTCTGAATCTTTTGAGTAGTTTTAGGTAATTTAGGTAAGTTTTGCGTACTTTGAAGAAGTTTGGCTAATTCTGAGGAACATTGAAGGTTTTTGGTTAATACCTACCTAGATCGGACAGCTGGTGCTCGCTCTTTCTCGTACTGCTTTAGTGGGACAATCGTGACCTGGACCTGCCCCTCATCATCCAATTTTTACCCGACCTCCTTGCCACTACATTCACCAACAAACACTGAACAAGACCTTTCCATCATTCATTCTTCTCAACTTCTGAACTTCTCAACCACATGCCGCCAGACTCCTCTCAGCGAGGACCCGAGAACATTCCAACACTGGCGCCATGACTTCCCCCTTCCGACAGTGGTCACCGAAGAATCTGGAGTCCCTTCAGGAATGGATTACTCCAAAGGCACGAGGCAGCAAGTACCGCCAAGATATCGAATTCGCCCACGTTGAGATAGACATCGATCAACCATCTGACCAGTCCATCTGGGAAACCGTCCTCGATTCGGCGTGCCGAGACAGCGATACCCGCACGCGTGTTTGGGTCGTCGGACCAGATACACAGACCGATATCGCCACACTAGCATGGCATCAAGTCAACTCACGCAAGGAGGGCATTAATATCAACACGGCCACATACCAAGAGTTCTCCGCATTCCTCCATGACAGCCGTAATTCTCAAGGCCTCGGATTCTATGGTTCGGCCGAGATTCGGGGCTGAACATTCGAAGATGATACACTACAGACAGTGATCATCTACATCGATCCCCTGATGAGCGCAGAATGCGCCCTGGCAATGCTGGGTACCGTGCACTGGGCGACTGTCATCAGTGACGCCGTTCCCGTCCGAATCCTCAGCATCTCCAACGCACCTCACCCAGAATCGCTCAGCCGGCTTGTAGATCACTACGGCCATTCGGATATCACAGCCTTCAAGAGCGAGACCCCGGAGAAGACATGGGAGCAAGACCCAGCCATTTTCATGATCTATGTCCCATTCTAGACAGATGAGGACAAGATCAAGACCATAGAGCGCGATCTTGAGAAGGAGGAAACGGAGCAACAGATCATTGTCTGCTACTCTCCTTGGGACTGGACTCGAAACCTACCCAGAAAGAACAACCAGGGATTTATCTTAAAAACGGCTCAAGACGACTCGGTCGAGGATCGATTGAAGCACTTCGACAGGGTGCCAGCCAGAGACATTCTGAACAACGAGCCGAAGCAAGTACAACTCGAGAAGAAAGACTACGATGTGGTCGCCAAGAACGAAGGTTGCATAATGCTTCAACTTCCCCCGGGCTACCGACATCCCTCCCCTTTGGCCGGATTCGAAGTAATTCATCTTTGCCTCAGTACATCTCGCGAGCAGACCATTTTCGATCCATATACAGAGCAAATGGCACGATTGCGACTCCTGACGTCGGAAGAAGAGCGGCAAGAGCAGGTTGCGATGACCTTCCGCACAAGCCGCGCTCGTCGTCCACGAGTCATGCTGTACTGCGATCAGGGAACCATCGATCACTTTGTGGAGTTCGGGGCCTCCGAGAGGCGGCTTAGAATCTGTAATGATCATACCCCCGGCTTTATTCTGGCCCTTGTCTGCCTTAAGGACTGGGAACTTGACATCGAAAAAATACTTTCGTGTTTCTTTTCAGAAGACCAACAACAGTCCATCCTGACTCTTTTCCGGTGTAGGCTAGGTACACAACGTATCATACGCGAGGCTATCTCTGAGGCAGAAGAGAGACTGAGCTTCCTTGGAACGAGATTCCATGGAAAAGCATCTCTTCTCCTGAAGCTCCTGCCCATCGTTGACTTCGATTACCGACTTGCTGTCTTCATCGCCCACCCAACGCAATCTACAAAGGTCTTCAAAGTCAAGCTGCAATTGGCCGCCATCCTGGTCACCGGGATTGAAAAGCTATTCACGTTTGCTCGTCGAGGAAGCATGCCATATGAGGAGTATAAAAAATCACTTATTCTCGCTTGTCAAGGCTGGACCTCTCTGCTTGCTCGCACGGGCGGCAGTATTTGGCTCGCTGTGGGCTTATGGAAAAGTGGCGCCGCAGGCGTGGAGGACCGTGATGTTGCTGAGTTGAGCGACGTCAAAATACATGGCGCTCCGGTCACGATGAACATGGCCGCGTTTCATGCTGTGCAGCGGACACTCAATTCATTGACGAACGCCTGTGCCCTATCATACATCCCCGTCCTTCCTGACTCACTGCCTGAGAATGACGTGCTCAGTGACTCAGAGTCCGACGAGATCCAGGGACATCTAGCTTGGGCCTACCTCTGGCAAGTAGTGCAAACGGAGAGACTCCCTGACGGCAAGATAGTTCACCGACTGCTCAACGGGATCCACAACAACTACACCCTCACTCTACCCGCTTGGGCTTTCGATGAAAGCGATGTAGACTGTTTGCTTGGTGGCGATGTTCCTTACTACAACGACGGATCGCACGACAACAGCATCTTTGGTATCTTTCACGGAATGTCACGGGAGTTTGAAATTTCGAACTTTTATTTGGACGACTGGACCTACATTTCTGGTGACATATTTCGCAATGCTCATTTCGACAGCGACTTTTGGGACCTCAAGGACGGTTCGAGCTTCTGTCCTCGCGACCCTGAATAACAAAAGGCCCTTTCCGGGTTTCCCGAGTAGACTGCCAGCCTGAAGAGAGTTTGTTTGTAGGGGTGAAATGAGATGTACTTAGTAGAGTAGTTTGTTGAACCCGAGTTCGTCTGTGGTATCACCGCCAGTTTTCTATCGTGTCAGCCAATACTACGTTAATTTGACACGGCGTCAAAATGAAAGTCGGAGTATCGCGAACTACTTGTTTATTTAGAATCATATCTGCTTTTCTTGTGCCATGCCTTGTTTCACTCTGACACACTCATCCTTCCAACACTTGACCAAACACACTTCAGTACCCCTCGAAAGGAGGAAACTTTCGCTGAACTGTCTCCCAGTCCTTAGTATCCGGATCAATTGGCAATCCTTTGCGGTTATTGAAGCCAACTCTATCCAGGCCTCGTTGATAGAGCGATAAACTGCCGCGAAGTGTTTTTGTGAACTGAGTGGTCCAAGGAAATCCGTTGGGAGGTTTGTGGCCGTTGGCGACAGCAACGCCGACGACGTGGACCCAGTCTTGTGTCGGCTGGAAAGATGGCAGGTTGGCGCGCATCTGGATGCCTTCCAGCTGCATGGCTAGATCGTGCTTTGTTTCCGGACAATTGGCGAGGCTGTGTTCCAGGGTGTTGCACCATGGGCAGCCTTTTATCAACCCGTCCAGGAGGCCTGCCTTCATGTAGATGTTGAGGCGGTGAGATGGTGAGCCGCAACCAGCACATTTCGAGACCTTGGTACCCGAGAAGCGTTTCACCATCGGTCTTCTCGTTGATGTTATGGTTTCAGGGCGTGTGCTTGAGAGTTGGGAGCCTGATCGTGTATCTCTGGAACACAAAGGAGACTGGACCGAATCATGTCAAATTTCGAAAGATTTCAGTTCAACCTCTTTTCGACACTTATCAAAAGCTTCTCGTGGCACGGAAGGACGCGGATATGTGATGCGCAAGAAAGCTGATGCCAGAGAGTCACGTGTGAGGGGAGCGAGTTTGGCTCTCAGACAGGATAAAAGGTGTTGTTGATTGAGTTTCGGGGAATTTTCCAACAATTCCCATTGACTAGCAGCGGTATCTCGGCACTTGAATGAAGTGTGAAGCAGGTTGATTGGGCGGTCATCTCAACCCTGTCTAAGAATAGCCACCACTTGTGCCTCAACAGAGATCTAAATGACTCCCTGGCTAAAATTATCAAGACGTTGGTTGATCGGCGCTAGCTAACATGCGTGCCCCGTCTTAGCGCCATAGCCTCATTGTCTCAGTTCAGGTTGCGCATGATATCTGATACCACTATTTCTCATCGTCGTAACGTCGTGAGAGCCGCGTTTCATCATTCTTACTCTCCGGTTCCAGTGAGCTAGTACTGTCTTTATCTTGATTCGACTCAGCCATTTTGTAGACTATCAATGCGTAAGCAAGTGCGACAAGATCTGCTGTCATCCCAGCCCCTATTTATTTAAGTTTTCGGTTTCGGTTTCGGTAACGGTTTCCAGCGATGGACTAAATTTAGCGTCTTTCGACATCCCTCAAGTATAACCCATATTTTTCCTTTCTTGGATCTTTCTCTTTCTTTGATATAGGTTCAAACCGACCTGCATATTCATCAGTTCATTTTGCTCAAGTCGCTTGATATGGCGGCCTTTACACTTCCGGATCCTCCGTCGGCGAACAAGACCAATCTCGCCATCGCAGAATTGGTCCTTTACATAATTCTTTTCATTCCGGTGGTACCGCTCGTTTGGAAACATGGCAAGGCTGGAATGACCTGCTGGCCAATCTTCTTATCCTACTTTCCGCTTCGGTTCGTCGCGGATGGATACCAGATTGCCAAGCGCAATGATCCCGAGATTCCCAATGCGGTCATTATCATGACCACTGCTGGAAGCATTGCCTGTCTGTCGCTGACTATAATTGGGTTGATCTATGAAGTGTAAGCAAGAGTGCTATCAAACTCAAACATGTAACTAATTGAGAGCGGCATCCAGGAACGTCATACTTCCACTGCCTCCAAAACGATGGACTGAACGAATCCTCCTCGCCGTTACTCATCTCTCCATCACCGCTGGCATCACGCTGTCAACTTATGGAGGAGCCCCCAAGTTCGGAGCCCCTGGTGGTGTCCTCTCACAGCATCTCAACCAGATCGGCACCTGCATGATGTTATTCGTCATGATATTCGGCGTAGGATGGTGGCTCTGGTGGACGGGAAAACGCGTCACCGCCATGAAGTCGCACCCCAACTTCATCCCCGCGAGATTCCTGCTTCTCACAGCTTGCGCGGCGTTTCCGTTCCAGCTTGTCCGGCTTGGCTACACCTTGACGTACTCCTTCACCCCGTACTCGAGTTTGGATCCAGTTTCTGGAACCTTTGCTACTAGGCTGGTGCTTATGTTTGGTATGCAAATGATTGTTGCTGTGATTGTTACTGTGGGTGGCTGGCGCGGAACTGGTGCTGTGCCAAATTCTGCACAGAGTGGCGGGCGCCAGGGATTTGGAAGTGTCGCGAACCCATGGGTATGAATCCAGAAGACTTTGTTTTATATTCTACTTGCTATGCTTATAAAACGTCCGAGTCGTAGGCTAGATGCGGTACCTATAGTCAAGATTTGTGGTTATGAAACTGGATTGGGACAGAGAATTGTGAAAAATGGGGAAGTTTTGCTCTAATAAGTTTGGTGATTCCACGTACTTCGCCCTGCAGGTCAAGGCAATGTGAGCGTTGAGGGTGAAGCTTTCCGCAACCAAGTCCGTCCGGTATGGTGTAGTGGCTAACATTTCGCGCTCTCATAACCTGAGAGATCGGTACCGCGGAGCCCAGGGTTCGATTCCCTGTACCGGAGTTTCCTTTTGGCGACATACCTAATCACACTTTTTGGCATTCTCTAAGAACCCATACAGGTATTTTCTTTACCTTTTGCTTGTGCTTCTGGTATATCTTTTATATTTATGCTATTTAAAAAAAGCTGCCTGAATGCAAACAGTAGTGACGATACTGAGACAGGTCGACTTGGTTAAATATCGCACTCACCCATAGCCCAAAATTGCACCAAGCCCTCACCTCTCTTCAATCCTTTGATACATACTATTAACTTGTATCCTTATTTCCAATCCATTGAGTCATCCACTCCTCTCCCTTTGGCTCGGCTATAACAACTCGATAGAATTCCTCAAGTGTGTAACGTTCAAACTCCTCTGCCGTGAGACTCTGCAACTTGGCGAAGTGAGGATATCCGCCCATGAGAAGATGAATGACATAACAGTGTTGTTGTATCTCATCCCTGTGTAGGAATTCCTTTACTCGTAGAGCTGACACGTCCTGTGTCCAAGTTCCAGGCCTCTCGACGGGTTTTGGCTGCCGCGATCGAAGAGAGTCACCAAGTCGGGTTATCCGACGTCGATATCTTTTGAGCATAGTACTCATGAAGGTCCAGGGATATTTCTCAACTGGAGCCCGATGGTGATAAAGAAATGGTCTTGTAAAACGTTTCTTTGCATGATTCAAAGTGCTGAAAAGGAATTCGGTTCGATAGTAAAATATATTGCAATAACAATCAAGTCTCAGAAAGTCCTCGATAAATGTGAACTTGGCTTGCCACGGGACGTCTTTCAGCAAACGCTTGCTGACAAAATTCTCCTGACAGGTGTCAAAGGCACGACAAAGCTCCGGTACTAGATTCTGAGCCATTTCTAGAACTGCGAGGGCCGGGTAGTTTTCAGTGGGTTGCTTGGGATATTCCTGTGATATGACGGAGTCCAGTGCAGGTTTGAGCTTTTCTTCCAGTTCTGAGACTGTCAAGTCCTTGTATTCGGCGCGAATAGCGCGGAGGTCCATTGTGATTGCAGCAAAAGGCAGAAGAGATTTGTCAACATAGAACTTGAGCAGGTCTTGCACATGATGCCCCAAAAGAGAGGACCGGTGTCTTTGGAAGACGGATAGTAGAGCAGGTGAGGCGGAGATAAGATGTCGCAAGTCCTGGAGGGGGGTTCGGTCGAGTATCTCGATTCTTAGTTTAGGGGCCAGGGCCGAGAAGAAATCGGCGCAGCCTTGATGCTGCAAAGTTTGTAGGGAGGTCATTTTTGTTGTGGAGGAGTAGAGTATGCCAAGGGAACTTGTGAGTTCTCTTTGGTTTAAATATGTCTCGTTTCTTGCGAAAGATGAACTCATACTCATGAGGGTCAGGCCGGCTTCTTATACCCCAGCAGCTGCCAATAAGGTTACTGATTGAGTCATTATAAAAACATACTATTGTGATTTTAATTAGAAGACTTATCTTTGTTAAGGCTATGCGCATATTGCCTTTAGAAGCCTAAAGTTAATTGGTATTTTTCAGTGCGTTAGCTTGATATATCTCGTTAAGATATCATAAGCTCTAACTATCAATCAATCTTGCGAAAGATGAACTCATACTCGGCGCGATGACTACATGGCTCTCCACGGGCGCTATAAAGTTTGGCCTCCTTGCATGCTATTGCTGCGACTCAAACACTAAGTTCTCTCTGCTCATTTAAGCTCTCAGCCATAAGTCTCAACTACAAATAGTGACTCAAATACTGTGATAGGGTTGAGGGGTCAAAAAGAGGCTTCAGCCTCAAGGCCACAAAGGTAAAGAACACCAAAAAAAACACATACGGGCGAAATACTCCTCGCCCTCGTGACTCAAATACGGGAAACTTTAAACCGCCAGTCAATCTGCCAAGAACGCCCTCTGCCTGTTGAATGTCCTACCGATCTCTTGAACTTGATCAGTAGATCAGTACTGGTGAATAGACTTTTTGGCTTCTTTTAGTTGTTGCTTACAATACTTTGACTTTACGTGTGATGCTTTGGCCTTCACGCTGAAAATACCATAACTTCGCCTCGCCGTTCAATTTCCAGGGCTCGTCTGTACCTATGGCTCATTTGCCTAAGAAATTCCGTATTGTATCAAGATTGAACACTTGCTTCAAAATAGTAGCGGTTCTGGCAGTTGCTAATCTCTAGAGCTCTATGGCAATTCAAGTTATCATCAAACTACCAATGCCAACATCCAAGGCCGTTTAGCATAGCCCCGTGAAGGTTTCTATATGGCAACCAGGCAATCTATCTCTCATCCCTACCAGGCACAGGAACAGCTATGGCCATTCACACTGTACCTTCATCCTACTCTTAACTTCAATTCCTCCAGAGAGTGAAATGTCGATTAAGGTTATTGCAATGACTCTTGTCGGCTGCCCATGCTTCACAAGCTGTTAGGTTTGATACAACGAGTTCCTCGAATTCCTCCTCCACGGTACTCAAAAGGGTCTCATCGGAAAGCTGTTCCAAGAAAGCAAGTTTTGGATAGCCCTGGAGGACGAGGCGATGCTTAAAATATGCACCCTGCATCGCACTACGGTTCCGAAAGTCAATTTTAGTCATTGCTGCAAGGACCTCTTTCCATGCCCCTTTTGGCCATGCAATCCCTCGAGAGCCGCGTGTAGTCGATTTAACCCTGGAAATGACTTTTCCATATCTGCGACTGAGTCTTCCCAGGATCATATAGGGATACCACCTCAGAATTTTGTCATCGAATTTAGGAAACTCGGGAAATGTGTTCAAGAAGGCATCCTTGATTCCAGCACGTTCCTTAAAAAGGTCCTGACCTTTGTGATGGAATATATTCCGGTAGCAATCGAATCTTAGGAAACCGTCGCTGAATGCTTTCCTTATACCCAAGGGGGCCTTGTCCGGCCAGAGCGAACCCGGGCTCCGATATCGAAATTCGGCTTTTTCTTCTTCTTCTTCTTCCTCCAACAAGCCGGGTTCTATGAAAGTATCCGTGATCTCGGGCAGGAGTTCGTGGGCTGCCATGACCATGTTGAGGGTAATGACGCCCATTTCCTCTGTCGATTTGGCGTTTAACCGCAATATGTACTCCAGAACAGGCCCGACCACCTTTTCCAGGACCGGGACAGTATCTCCGTCGTGCTTAGACTGCAGTTCACGGAGATGCATAGCTGATGCTGCTAAGTGAAACGATGAGATGTCGGTATAGCTAAGATGAAGGTCATGCAGGTATGGCCTTAGAATATACTGGCGATTGCTTTGCAAGGTCCTTAACAGCATGGGCGAAGACACGGTGGCAGACTTAATGTCTTGGAGGGAAAGGTACTGCAGTATCTGAATGTTGATCTCGGGCTGGATTGCAGAGAAAGAATCTGGCCATACTTGATAGCCTGATGCCGATGAGGAAGCCATGTTGCGATTCGAGATGATCGCGGGGGTAGTTTGGATGTTAGGTCTAATCGATCTCTAATGAGATCGATGAAGAAGACATAAAGGGACCAGAGAAAAGGACAGAGCCTGTTATACTTATACTCAAGGGGCGGCGATTGTATGACGCGCGACAAAATTTGTGGGAAACTTAAATGCATGACAAAAGTAGAGCCATAGGCTACAAAATTACATCATTGTTGGCAAGGAATCAAAGCTTTCAACACCCACAATCATATTGCCATGTTGACAATTGGACAGTGTTAGAGATGAGTTTCTTTGTACACTTGATTTGCCCTACACGTGACCTTACTGAAGCCATAAACCATAAGTCTGAGCTGCCTCGGTATTGAAATTGGTCCCCATAGGCTGATTTCGAATGATCCAAGACTCAGTTTTGGTGGAAAGGCGTACCAGAACACTTACCCTACGGTACGAAGCGCAAGTATTTTAAAGCCGCGGTCATTGGTCAGTCGATACCGACAGTCTGGTTCACGCTAAAAGCTCGTACCAATCAAGAGCAGCATCATCATGAGGCTTTGTCCAAATTGGTAATTAGTGCGATTAGGCAGCTCGTCCAGGTAAAGTCATTAAATCACGCAATTGACCTGCCATTATGGAGTAGCTGCCCAGCCGTCGTAAGCCAGTAGCTTGCAGGAATTACAGTGATAAAGGCTGCAAGGTCCGAAATGCTGACGATGCCACTGAGCAAAGAGACTCTATCAGATACCATACGATGATCGCCAATTCTTCCCCGTGGACGCAGATTTACTCTTTCAAACCCCCAGAAAACTAAGTTTAGTAGCGGCGTGATATCACCAAATCCTTGCATAGTGAAGTCTTGACGACCAATAGTCAGCTGTAATCATACCGGAACCGCCATCCCTTGTCGACACCCTCAAGGGTCAGGCAATGGTGTATCACATGAACATCTTGTCCTGTGTGTCATATGTGCGTACAGCCGATGGCCATTTGTTACATCCTTTCCCTAAAAGTGACGGTTTATAGACAGTGCCATTGAAAATGGAGAATGGGGTAACGCATTCAAGTGGGACTCTGCCCTTACTTTACGTGCGCAATGTCTGTTGTATCGGTTTGGAGTCCTCTCGGTGTACATAAATAGATCTGACCCATGTCTCCAGGCGTAATACTGTTGGCTTGATGGTCGGACTACCAATCAATCCGGTTGGGCGATGCTGTAGGATGGTGGTATAAGGCAGCCACACCACGGTCCTAGTAAGCAGGGATATACACAGAGAGCCAATATTAATAACCAGCATAACCTCACAGTTATACAGTTACCCCTCTTTGTCAATTTCCTTCTTTCGCTTCCCAGAAGACTCACAAATCAGTATGAGTGCAGTTGTTGATGCAGCGGTCACTAAATCGGAGGCTCTCAGGGCACATTTTCTGCAATGGACCGTTGACATCAGTAAAGTCAAGAGCCCTGAGGAGGAATACAAACAAAAACGTCAAATGTTGCGGCATAATTTCGACAATGAGCTACGCCAACTGGTGCAGCATTCGCCTGATCAGATTGAGTACACCAGGCGGTCAGATGCGATGCTGCAACATGCCGGCGAGCTTAAAGAACTAGAGATCCAGTTCAGGAGGTCAGTCGCTCTACAGGAACAGCAATTTGACGAACGACTAGAGGCAGCACACAGGAGGCTAGCTTGTGGTCTGTTCCAGGCATTGGGGGATACTCTATGGGATCATTCGGTTTCGACTGCATTAAACCAGTGTTTACAACCTAAAAGACCAAAAGCCGACGACAGTGGTGCAGAGGAATGCAGCGAGGTGCTTGAAAAACGAAATGGTGCGGAACAAAATCCCGACGAGACAATCGACCTGGAAAGGGACTATACCCAGGGCTTGCGCCAAGTTGCAGACCACCCGGGGCCGCAGGACCAAATCACAGCATACGATCAACCTTCCGCAGAGACAGTAGACCATCTCTTCAGCACGGCGCGGGACCAGCAACAATCTTCAGCTCCCCAGGTATCCCTTGGCCAGGAAACAGAGCCAGAAGCACAGATAAGCCGAGCCATGGAAGCCACAGAGGTAAATAAGTCCCAGGCGACTCGGACCCCAGGCTCAGCTCCAACTCCAGATGCGAGCCGGTCGTCAGATCTTAACAGTCGGTTAGCTGAGAACTCGAATCTCACAACTATACAAATCTCGCCGATGAGCTTGAACCAAACTGGGGGAGCAACCCACCGAGATACAAGGCAGACATCAAATGGGGCGGATCAATCAGCGCATACTATTCCAGTGGCACATAATCAGAACAACACATCCCCTGGTCAACTGCCAACGGCCCCTCTTGTCGCTCACCTTCGTGCCCCGTTAAAAAGGGTCTTAGCAGAAGCATCCGATCAACAACAGAAACGGAAAAGGCTGCACATCAACTCCCCTGATCCACCCGAAGAACGTGCCATCAAGTTTGACCAAGTCTTCCAGAACGGAGACGCCCAAATCAAGTACATCATCATTCAGCATCCCCCGGATTTCGGAAACTGGTACATCTTAGAGTGCAAGGAACACGGCAAACACTTTCACAAGGACCCAGTCAGGGATGCTGCCCGGCATTTAATAAGCCAAGACCATGGGCTGAACGGAGACCACTCCTTTGTCATCAAGATGCTTGGAACACGCGTTCTACACTGCAATGATGCATTTGCCTCGATGAACAACAGGATAGCAAGACAATCGTTTCCGCAGGCCGTAAATGTCACACCTCAGCGGGTAACTCAAGGGAGGCGGATGTTGCCAGAGGACTATCAAGCCCAGGGCTGTGAAGTTATTCCTGTTGCCGGCGAGATATACTCTTTAAAGTCGGC